TCTATACTCTACCTACACCTATAAACTTATCTTTATATCTATACTTTCTTAAATTTAGAAATTGTGTTTTTGGTATTTTTTAAACGACCTTAATCGACACCTGTGAAATCACAACACAGTCCCGTATACAGGTAAACAAAGCCACTAGCCGTCTACATGTACCTGGACGGTAGTTTTCCCCCGCCCGGGGCGCTTACGTATTTCGCCGGGTAGGGCAAGGGGTGTGAAAACACAGGTGAAGGGGAGCTATAGGCAAACCGAATGCAAATAACAAATACTAAACGTCCAGCTGTGTTTTCATTATGGTCATACGGTATAGCATATCAGCTCTATGTGTCAGGTACAGGCCAGGTCAAACCCCGGTAACTCATCAAATTGTTAATTACATATTCTGTTACCTTGGCGCGAAATCCATTCTTGACAGTTTAAGGGTCACTGTAATGCTGTGTTACACGCATTGTACAGCTGTACATAATCTTCATTACTGTGATGAGATATTACAATAATACATACAGTTTTCATTATTGCATACGAGCTTTCCGTATATTTTTCTTTCCGTAATATTGATCTACAAATTGTACCCAATCGCACAGTTGTGCGGAGAGAAGCGCACAACGGGGCGAAGGATTGTTAAATCACACAGTTGTGCGCACCATGTGTGGACGATGTGCGGACGGTGTGTGAACGATGTATGCACAGTGTGCGCACGCTATTTTTGGTGCGTTGTACGGTCACACAACTGTATATTTCTGAACGTTTCTTCAGAATGGTAATTTACTAAAAGTAGATTCTGTAAAGGTTCATGTAGCACAACCAGTGAAATGTTGATAAATGAATATGAACATCTCACTTGTTGTGCTTTATGAATATTCAATTGTTCATTTGTCCGTTCCTTCAATGTCAAGGCCACAGCAAGAGTTTAATACTTCAAATCACAGCTGTTTTCCTGAGCATAAATGCTAGACCGCTGAACGATACTTCATGAAACTTCATTGTTACATTGAAGACAAGAGATCCCAGAGGGATCTTGGCGCCCACCTTTGTACCATCTTCATTAGTTCTTTGTCAGTTTGATCTTTTCTCTTCTTTCCTCTAATCTGTTTGATCGATACATGTTAACAGTAAATGCACCTTGAGGTAACTTTTGATCTAAACTTAATACTGATGTGTATGAAAGCCAACCTTCAAAGTGAGTTTGTTATTTCACATATTTTCTAGTACAGTACTTAATGTGAAAGAAATAGAATCAACATTGCAATATGAGAAATATCTGTTTAGTTCTTCTTTTAATCCATTTTGTTTTTATGATCAGTCTCAAAAGTTGCCCTGCACAGCTAAAGGCCAAAGGGGAACCTACATATGAGCATAAATGCTAGACCGCTGAACGATACTTCATGAAACTTCATTGTTACACTGAAGACAAGAGATCCCTGAGGGATCTTGGCGCCAACCTTTGTACCATCTTCATTAGTTCTTTGTCAGTTTGATCTTTTCTCTTCTTTCCTCTAATCTGTTTGATCGATACATGTTAACAGTAAATGCACCTTGAGGTAACTTTTGATCTAAACTTCATACTGATGTGTATGAAAGCCAACCTTCAAAGTGAGTTTGTTATTTCACATATTTTCTAGTACAGTACTTAATGTGAAAGAAATAGAATCAACATTGCAATATGAGAAATATCTGTTTAGTTCTTCTTTTAATCCATTTCGTTTTTATGATCAGTCTCAAAAGTTTCCCTGCACAGCTAAAGGCCAAAGGGGAACCTACATTTAAAATTTGAGAAAGATCCCTCAGGTGCTTCTAGAGAAATAGCGATAAGAAATATACCTCTCGTTCTTCCGGAGAAATAGCGGTAACAAACCTACACAATCAAAATCCAAGAGGGCTGCCTGTCAGCCATGTTGTTTATACGATCAGTCTCCAAAGTTGCCCTGCTCAGCTAAAGACCAAAGGGGACCCTACATATAAAATTGAGAAAGATCCCTCCCGTACTTCCCGAGAAATAGCGATAACAAACCTACACAATCAAAATCCAAGATGGCTGTCTGTCGGCCATGTTGTTTATCTGATCAGTCTCAAAAGTTTCCCTGCACAGCGAAAGACCAAAGGGGACCCTACATATAAAATTTAAGAAAGATACCTCTAGTTCTTCCGGATAAATAGCGGTAGCAAACCTACACAATCAAAATCCAAGATGGCTGTCTGTCGGCCATGTTGTTTATCCAATCAGTCTCAAAAGTTTCCCTGCACAGCTAAAGACCACAGGGGAACCTACATATGAGCATAAATGCTAGACCGCTGAACGATACTTCATCAAACTTCATTGTTACATTGAAGACAAGAGATCCCTGAGGGATCTTGGCGCCAACCTTTGTACCATCTTCATTAGTTCTTTGTCAGTTTGATCTTTTCTCTTCTTTCCTCTAATCTGTTTGATCGATACATGTTAACAGTAAATGCACCTTGAGGTAACTTTTGATCTAAACTTCATACTGATGTGTATGAAAGCCAACCTTCAAAGTGAGTTTGTTATTTCACATATTTACTAGTGCGGTACTTAATGTGAAAGAAATAGAATCAACATTGCAATATGAGAAATATCTGTTTAGTTCTTCTTTTAATCCATTTTGTTTTTATGATCAGTCTCAAAATATAACATGCACAATGAGGGATCAAGGGGAACCTACATTTAAAATTTGAGAAAGATCCATCCCGTACTTCCCGAGAAATAGCGATAACAAGAATTGTTTAAGGACGGACGACGGACGGAAATGGAAATGTTCTCAGTGGAAATTTTGTGTTTAATGAACCAGTGCCACAACAAGCATGGGCTGAAATATTGTCATGCCAAACAGATAGCAAAATGTGAAAAATTTCAGAACACATGTGTAATTTGTTTGAAGTGAGGCTCAAAATGCAAACATTTTCAAACATGAAAATGTCCGCTTAAATATTTGTTTCAACAGAATGTTGAGTGTTGTAAATTTTTCAACAAAACATTGTGTTGCTAACCATGCACACACAGATTCATACTCTCAGAGTCAAAGTCAAGAGTTCAAAGGTCAGGTCACTGCATTGCTGGACCAGTCCATATCTATACTGTACTGTTGATCATTAAGTTTAGATGGAACTTAATTAATATGAATTTTATGATGACCGGATTGTGTGCCATACACTACTGTATATTCTATGTAGGTCTGTACTATATAAAGGTCTAAATCACAAGGGGTCAAAGGTGATTTTCACTTTCAACTTTAAGATTGTTGAACGTTTTGTTTTGTACCAAAACCACACCCTAATCTAGATCTGTATGACCGAGGACAAGATTACCTGAAACTCATTGATAAATTGTGCCATTTATATTGTTAATCTCGAGGTGTAATTCTCATTGAATATTTCTAGATCTGGACGACGGACTGACTTTTATTTAAAAGTAGGGGAATTTGGGCATGAAAATCCTTTTATATATTTTCATCTCTTAAAATGTTTCAGAAGCCAAATTCCGGGCCTTGGAGAAAAGATGATTGGGAACCACACATTTATGCGGTTATCATATTTAGAACCACTCGACAGATCATTTGGAGGAGCGCTGTAATGGAATTCAATGTAAAATGAATTGCTAATAGTTTTAATGTTTGTGGACCCAGCGAAAAAGTTCACGATACAGTCCGATTAAGTATCATGTCCTATCAGACATAAGGTACAAAACAAACAAAAAACACAAACTCAAAGTTGTATCATGAATCCAAAATTGGAGGTCTCTGATTAGTGACCAAATAAATCCCATACTCTACAAGCACTTGCACATTAAGTCTCTGAAAAATGGTGCTACATTCGTTTTAAAAACTAACAGCCCTACTGAGAGTTGGGTGAAGTGATATTCTAATGTTTTATGATGTATATCTCAAATGTGCATGTGTTTTGTATGATGGCCTGGTCCTACTCATCATCCATAGTGATTTATATAGTATAAGTGTATGAATGGTTTACAATATGTGAGAAAGGTTTTCCTAATTTAAAGAACAAAATGGCATCAAATTAGACAACATTATTAAAAAAGGTGTCATCCAGCTGGCATATGTCCATTTCTATGTATGTTGGACTCAGTGAAATGTAACCTGCTGAATTGACATTGAGTAGGTTACCTAGACTGGCCCATCTCTAGAATAGTATAGGTATTAAATTATTCAAAAAAAAGATTAACTCTAATAATGATGATCACTTTAGCTTATCTCCCCCTAGTTATACACTAGGGGGAGATAAGCTAGGAGTAAAATGTAGTTGAGAAATTTTTCATAAAAACTTAGGGGCTGGTAGCCAGTCTATATGTTACCTAACCCTTAGCATTGTTAGAAAATCAACAACAGAAATTATGTTATGTCAGCAGTAGAAAATAATTTGTGAGTTAATTATTTGTAATTGAAATAAGTGTTGCTATGGTTCATGGGGTGATTAATTTTTCTCAAGACAATTTTAATATGGACAGCTTTGCTACATTTTGAGTTAATCATGAAATGCGGGAGTTGGTGAGTGATCAGTTTGTACCTCCAATTTTTTGTCAGCGCTCCTTACTTTTGGTTTTCAATTTCACATGGCTTATTAACCTTGTCTCATTTTTCGATCTAGTATCGCTAGATCAAAACGACTTTTTGGGAGCCTTTAGATATCTTTCAGAGTTAGAATGGAAAAAAACTCTGACATGTGGTCTTACTTTATTTATTGGCATCATTGAAAAAGCCATTCACAGCAAAACAATTCCTTATAGAGACACTCGAAAATGCCCCAACTGGTTTCAAAAAACCCATTACCAAAAGTACCTGAACAGAAAGCCATTTGACTTGTATGACTAAACTTGGACAAAAGCATTGGTTTTGGAAAACTTGAAAGCTGCTATTAATCACCCTCTTAACCATAGCAATATCCAATCCTTTAATGGGCCATTTTTGCTTCACATTCCAATACATGTATAACATTCGACACAAGAAATCAGAATTCTTGTAAAATATTATTTGTTTTGTTGTTTTCATTTAAAATATTGCAGGAAAATAGATGTGGTTATTGTCTTAAAATAAAATTAATTGGGCCAAGATTGAAAGACATCCTTTTTTGGTGTTTACTTATCATAAAACTTTTGAAAAACCATACCTACTTTCTCGACATATTTACAATGTGTAATACATGTACTGTACTTCAGAAAGAATGAGTGTGTTATGTTAAAAGTATCCATACATTATAACAATTGTATACGGTTGACTTTGTTCATGTTCTTTCATGGTATGTACTTTCATATTCATAAAGATGTATTTTACTTTTTCATAGTTTTCATAAATAGAAATTTCCTGCTATTTTCTCCTGCAAATTTTCCATCTAGATCCTGTATGAATATCGTATTTCATTGTTTGATCCTAGAATTTGCCTGTCTTTAAACTGTTCGGGGATAGAAAAAGTAGAAGCTTGTCATTCATCTGTCTCAAATCCTGCAGTTCTTTTTAATTTTTTATTAAGGTTTGTTAATCTGATATTTTTTTTAGATAGGTAATAGTTTATCGATGACATCATTGCATTATCTGAGCTGTATTATGAAAACAAGCCAAATACGGTCATAGATATATAATTGTTTAAAAACCAAGAAAAGTGCAATATAAAATGTAATTTGATTGTTATATGATAAATGTGCTTTGTAATTTATTGATTAAAAGGTATCAAAATTATATGATGTGAAAGAATTCTTCTATTCTAGTAATTATGATCCGACTTCAATAACATTTCGTAATGAAGTAGCAAATTCTAGTGGAGGACTTGGTCACTCACTATGCAATGTACTTTGGGTAGGTTTTAGGGGTCTGAATGAGGCAACTTCATTGTTTCAACAACAAGGACATCCACTTGTATCTTCCTTTGTCAATTAACTTCTTTTTATATAAACGGGGGTAATACAGGCCCTCTAGGCCTCTTGTTGTCTGGAAAGCCATGTTACATCAAGGCACGACTGTTCAAAGCCCGATTAACTTAAATTAACACAGATCTTTCATTAATATCATTATCATCACTACATTTTCAAAAAAAAAAAAGAATCCAAACAAACAAGCAAATTCGTGGAATTTATGTCCCCGCTTGCAGGACATATTGTAGGTTAACATTATTGAGTTACGTTTAAACATGCGAGTATCGTGCTGTTGAGACATAATGTATAGCTTGAAACTTGAAGAAAAAAAAAGCCCTATACCTCATTGATTATCCATAAAGATGCACAAATCACATTGGTTGGCAAACTTAGCATGAGTTGGATGTACATAAGGAATTTGGTTGAAACATCTTAACAATATCTACAGCAACAAGTACTAATTGTAATGGGAGACCATTACAGATGGCCCCCAAACTGCCCCCATAGTCGCAAAGATGCATCAGAAAAGGATTGCATTGCCATAGTACACCTACAATGTACATACTAAGTTTGAGTGAAATTGAGCAATTTTTAAATTGCAACCAATCAGAATCCTCTGTGTAGTTGCTATGGCAACGGAACGTATGCAATTGAATTTACAGTCGAATTTGGTTTGAGACTACAATTTTGGGCATTTACAAATCGGTGACTACACAACAAAAGCTAGCTTTTCATGTAGTCTATTTTTGTACTCAGCACATGTGTAAATATTGTGAAAAATCCGACGGAATGACCTATGCTAAAACGTGAGCATTTCTGTTACCGAGTAGGCAATATTTAATTTCAGACAGGTTTGAAGAAAAACAATTCTACTTGCGGGGGTCAAATTCTGGGTTAAAAATCATGATTTTTTGCATATTTTGATTTTGGTGTTTTTTATGTGGTAACCATGGTTTTCACAAGTCCCAAATCTGGGGAAATCACTCTTTGAAAAAAAAATGTTCTTAAAAAAAAAACGTATTCAAAATGTAGTTTATAAATATATATATATGTAGGTGTTTTGTGCAGAATGAATCCGCTATCCATGTTTATCCGAGACATGCCCTTTATTTTTAGGATCAAGCCATTTCTACTGTACTCGCAGTCCCCTTATACCCCTATATACCATTTTTTTTTATCAAAATCAAACAATATCTAAATTTCGACCAATCAGAAGCCTCCGTGCCGTTGCTATGATAACAAAACTAATACGGTTTTATTTGCAGTCCCCTTATATCCCTATATACAAGTTTTCATAAAAATCTAACAATATCTAAGTTTCGACCAATTAGAAGCCTCCATGTGATATCTGTGGCAACGAAACCGATGCGGTTAAATTTGCAGTCCCCTAATATCCGTATTTACCAATTTTCATCAAAATCAAACCAAGTTTGAAGAAAATCGGTAAACATAGTTATTGCACGGAAACAAAACACGGCAGATGACTTTTCATTATTCAAGAAGCCATAACTCCGCCAAATGGGGTCCGCTGAAAGTGGTCATCGAACTTGGTCAAGCCCTTAAGGCAAATAAATTTCTATGACCAAGTTTGAAGAAAATCGGTTAACATTTGTTGTAGTTATTGCCCGGAAACCAAGCGCGGCAGATAATGATTTTTTTCATTATTCAAGGAGCCATAACTCCGCCAAATGGGTTCCGATGAAACATTTGTTGTAGTTATTGCACGGAAACGCAGCGTGACAGATGGACAGACCCATATTAATATCCCCCGTTTCGGTGAAAGCGGGGGATAAAAAGTACACATATGGGTTCAAAATAATCACAGAAGCCTTAAATATAATATTTCTAATTTTCTGATTGTTCTCATGAATATGTTGGAAAATTCGTATTTATGACTGATAGGCTAACTTGGCTTTGAACACCTGGGCTCAAAATGATTATTGTGTTAATTGCCATTAAATAACAAAACAACAAGTAACACAAAAAGTACAATATTTATTGTTGGACTAAGTTTCCATCACACCAACAGAATGTGTTTTTATAACATGACCACACATACCTATATATATCACACAATAACATACACTCCCAACAGGACAGCTCTTGTAGAACTATATATATCAGAACCATTCACGAAATGATTGAAATGTCTCGCTTACTGGGAAATAATTACCATAAATGTTACATTTGATGGATCAATATTGGTTAACTTAATATTTTTCAAACAGCAATGTTTGGCTGCTTCATTGAATATTGCCATTGGCAAAATTCACAAAGTTTCAAATTTGAAAGAAAAAATCCTGGTTAAAATAAATTTATTCATCCTTTGTGTTAGTTTAAAATGTTCAAAACATCCAAAATGATGGCTGAATAGACAGACAGTAGAAAGATCCACCTCTAACATACTAAATGTGACACAATCTGAAATAAAACGAGGTGTATTCGAATTTACAGATCAAACAAAAAACAATTTGATGTGTAATGTCGTCCCTCAAGTATTTTAAACCAATGAAGCATTTACAAAAAAAAAGTTGACTTTGACCAATAACACTAAAACAGGAACGGTCCAGATTATACTCGACCAATCAAATGAGATGTCACCAGCAGCTTATATGATAAACATGATACCCTTCAGTCACCAAAATCTTGTATTCTCTTCTCTTCCTGATATTCATGAAGTTTAATAAAAGCACATGTGGTATGAAAAATGCATTTGTTCAAGGTGACCTCTCTGTACATCTGTGGTAGAGGTATATCGTGTAGTCATGAAATGGTACATTGTCCATGAACAAGCATTTACCAGGTGACCAGTTTTGAATGTGATGGATTATATAAAAGCGATGTTGAATATGAAGGTTGCATGGTGATTTGATGATGTTTGAATCTCAAGTGTAAAACATTATGCTACAATGGCATTGTTATGTAACAGACTCTGATATGTACCTGTACAGAAAACAAAAGGTACAAGGGATTAACTGTATTATCATTATGCAGAACGACTGATCGCTTGCCCACTTCCACAGAATCGTTTACAAGTTAAGCTGGATGAGGGTTCATGCATAAGGTCATGGTATTGGGATGTTGTACTACTCAAACACACTCCAACCAAAGGAATCATTTAATATATTAATCTGTTCACTTTGAATCAGCTGTAATTGAGTGCTTATCTATTGCCAGTGCGAGTTGCATACATTGTTGAGTACCGTCTACATACTTATATTTACTGTCCATATACTTATATTTACTGTCCACATTCCTATATTTACTGTCTACATACTTATATTTACTGTCCATATACTTAAATTTACTGTCACTGTCTACATACTTATATTTACTGTCTATATACTTATATTTACTGTCCACATTCCTATATTTACTGTCCACATACTTATATTTACTGTCCACATACTTATATTGACACCTTCGTAAATTTCTACTCATCAGTGATGATTTTCAAGTAAAATCATGTTTTAGCATTACCGCTACATTGTATTTATAACGTGCAGAAATATTGTGATTTCATATTTAGCAGTTATCATTGCTTAGAACTTGGAAATAAGTGTTAAAAGCACCAAAACAGGATATAAAAATAGGTATGTTCACAGTATTCAACTACAACTGTATGTTATCACACTAACAACATAAACCAGAATTAAAGTCATCGACATATATCATAAACAAGATTATAAATTTAACTAGAAAGTTAGAACATTGTATATAGAAAATGTTAAAAAAGGATGTCCTTGATATAAAAGTTTTAAATTATATACCTTCTGCCAATTGATTATCTGCTTGAAAATCATTCAAAATTGACATTTAGGTACATTGCTATAATATAGCAGACATGATTAATAGAATAGGTAACTTCTATAAATTTCTGGTTACATTCTTTCCATTATAGGTGCATGGCTTGGGTAGTGTACATCACAAATCATGACTATATATGTATGTATGCCTTTTCAAAGATGATATCTTTTACTATTTCATAACAGTTACTTTTACAAAGATGCACTTTAAAATTGCACTCAAATAATTTGCATTATAGCAAAACAGTCTTTCTTATATTCTTATTGTAAACAAAAATACATGTCAAGCCAATATTTTTATCTCTTTCAGAGCTTGAGAGTGAAATAACAATATCGAAATGGTAATACAAGCTTTAAATTAAGATTTTGAAAACCTTACTGAGGATAAATATTTAGCAACAGATATATAGCAGGCGTTTATACAGAATGTTAGATTATATCTTCACTGTTGTGGTAAATAAATTAACACTAATATACCAGGCAAAGATCACATGACTTCAATCTTATTCTATCACATATAAACAAATCACCTATATTTAGAAAGACTTTAAATACTAAACTATAATAAAATTGGAAAATACTAAAAACTTGCTCTATAATGTAACAGTGTTAATATATTATTCAAACAATAACATATATATGTAAACATTCTATTAACTATTTAGCTAAATCACAGTTAATTAAAAGCTAAAACATTGCAGCCTATAATCTAGGCTGAATCACTGATTAAATATACCATTGTCAACACACAATAAAAAAGCACAAGAATTCTACCAGGAGGTAAAGGCTACTGGTACAACAGCAACAGGAAAAGGAGAGGCTGCAGTCAGGTACATCTATACAGAAGGTATCAACTGTAGCTCAGGGGTCAATTTATTAACCAAACACCATTTTGTTTATTTATTATCCCCTTCCCACACAACTATTTCTTTCTTTCCTTGGGCCCACTTTACAAATAAATGGTAACAAATACTTTTAACATCTGCCCCCCCCCCAACCTGCCCCTTTCATATTCATCATATCTGGAATAGTCTTAATGTAGTTGGCTTGCATACTGTGGTTAGTATTTTAGCATAATTGCTCCATAATATGCTATTAGTATCACAGAAGATTAATTATCTGGGCTTATACAATTGCAATCTGAAGGATTTTCATTAAGTCATTCACCCCTGAAATTTTATAATACATTATTCCAGCCTTTGAGTTGGAAGAGTTGAAATGTGTCGTTAAGGGTGAATGAGTTAATACATAGCTAAAAAACAATGAGGGCAATCTTTTACCAGTAATATTTCTTCAAACTTGACACTTACAAAACAATCCAAACAATTTGTTCTAAATTCTAAGTCTCTTTCCTTGATAAAGTCGCAGAAATGCTACCTGCCATAGAACCTTGCACATGACACTCAAACACAATTTATTTTGAAGCATATTTTCATACTTTGAAATAATATTGGCACTTGCTTACCCAGAACTTGTTAATGTTGTATGATTTTCAGATTTCCTTGTTTCAGAATAATTTTGTAGCCTTTAAGCTTGAAATTTTACATTTAATATGCAAATAACAGTAGTTTTTACAGTACCTGTATACGTAAGTAGTTTGATGATAAGGAATTTAGAGATCACTTACATGGATCCACTCTAGTTTAAACATGTAAATCCCTTATAATTATACACTGACAATTTTTTAATACAAACAGTCACTCCTATAAAATGTTGGATGTATATTGTATTTTTTGCATGTGTCAGTGAATTTTGTTCAGTTTGTAATAAACGCCCACAAAAAGTCCTCCCAACAGTTGAACACATATTATCCATGAATGGGATAAAATGAACAATTAAATTATCAAAATATCTAGAATAACTGTAATTGAAAGACACAAAGAAATAATGGTAGAAATGCAATAAAGCAACAGTTTAAAACAATAATCAAAATTCAATCTAAAGAAAAATGGATTGGTGGATAAAAATATTTCTAAATAAAAAGGTCATAAAAGCCTCCTAGATATTCATACTGGGTAAATGTTTTCCACATGAAAAATTATAAGTATACCAAGTACCAACAAAAGCGTTTTCTACCACCACAAATATCCGAATTTTAAATACCATTGGATCTGCTCCGATATGAAATAATTTGATTGCCTACTAAATGTTTACCCCAGCACACACTGACTTAGTAGTAGTGATGTGCATGTGTCTCCTGGTCACTTGTAACATACATACTTTTTATCCAACACTTTAAATTTTAACTGTTTTGTAATTAAAGATTTTAATTGATAGCCACTACTAAATTGATGTTCCAAATCTTCAAGCAATGTTTTGATTAAATAATTAAGACCGCCATTTCCATATATCCGACAATTTTTTTCCATATTAGTTTAACACTGAATTAAAACAAGTTGTATCAGATTTCATTGATGTTGGTTTTTAACTTCTATGAGGTAAAAACTTATGATGTTACACGTATTTAAACAACAGAAGTGATATCTAAATATTACATATCAGCAATCTCAAGTGAGTAATGTATACAGAGTGGAGCTGAGTTTACTGACAAAATACTAAATAAACTAGCTGACAACTAGAAAAGCAATAATTTTACAACTTCACTTTCATATCATAACTCCAGCAATTAATTCCAAATATCCGGGTGGTTGGGTGGTGCAGTGGATCGAGCACATGCCTTTCACTAAGGCGCCCATGGTTTGATTCTCCGATCTGACGTGAAAAGGAATGGGGTCACCTGCCCGACTACATGGATTTTCTCCGGGTACTCCTGTTTCCTCCCACATTAAGACCCCCCGCGCTAACATCCGGTCAAACAAGAGTGATTAATAAAAGTTGAAATAAACTGTTTCATAATTGTTGTCAAATAAATAAAGTTTATATATAATTCCAAATACTGATATCAGTAAGTCAATGACCATCACTGTTAATGATTGTTTCCTTAAATGTTTTTTTCTTAAGCACATTAAAATACAATTATAAATACATATTCCTTTCATGATGTATTGATGTAATATTCTTTTTTAAATGATATATGAAACCAAGCTAAAATGACCCACCAGCTACAACATTGTTTTTCAAGGTTAGTGTTCATCTATTGCTTACTTTACTCATGTACCCCTGACATACTTCAGTAATATTTGACCTTATTAATCAAATTTGAAAAAAAAAAAGACTCTCAAAACAGTCACTGTTATCTGAATAGCCATCAAGTTAAATAATTTCTAACTAAATTTACGACACAAAGCTTTGGAAGGCTACAGGACAGTTAGAGAGAAAAACAAACAAGTTTCCTTCCTGCTGAGTGTTGATGAGTCTCCTCTATGGCCGTTATTGTAGGAAACATCTAGGAGTCTAATTTAGCCAGTTCGCTGGTATACACACCGATGCTCTCCATGTCATACAGTACAAAGTACACTTGCTTCAGAGAGCTGCTCATGACGGTGACAAAGTAGTTACTGATGGCCTTCAGGATAATCTGTGCTGCCGTTTGTTTGGGAAACCCCGCACTGAAAAACAAAGCCATTGATTAGTATGACTTTTCAGGTATAACTTGAACATAGTAATATTACGTTAACTTGAATATTAGTATGACTTTTCAGGTATAACTTGAACATAGTAATATTACGTTAACTTGAACATAGTAATATTACGTTAACTTGAACATAGTAATATTACTTTAACTTGAACATAGTAATATTACATTAACTTGAACATAGTAATATTACGTTAACTTGAACATAGTAATATAACGTTGTTGTGTTTTCATACCTGACTTCATCTGATCACTTAACTTAAGAACAGAAACTGATGATCAGTAGTCTTTATATTCATAACTAGCAAATTTGCTTGAAGATATTTCAAAGAATTGAGAATTCAAGACAATCAGAGATAGAACTTATGAGATTCCATTGTGAAGCATTGGTGTATGCACTATATTCAAATCATCCACACCCACAAATGATTAAAGTTACTAGATATTTTGGTTAACTTCCAAAATCAATAGTCTTAGAGCATTATGTAATATGTTCAGTGTCAAGCATACATAATTATGAAAGCAATCAACAACATTGACAACTATTTATTAGATAATAAATTTAAACTAAATAAATTTAGATATTTATATTTATATTTGCAGTATATATTTCCCAACTCACACACTTTTATGACTGAATACATTAGATACAAAACAACAGGACACTAGTAGACATTCACTGTAATCATGCATAAATATGGAATATATCTATGATTACTTTCATTGTCAATCACTCAATGAACTGAATGAAAGAACTTTTTCAGGTCCTTGAACTCTGCTTGCATTCATGAAGGGCGATAACTCAGTCCTTAATTACATGTCCTTGACCTTTGCTTGCATTCAAGAAGGGAGATAACTCAGTTTTTGACATGTCCTTGATCTCAGCGTGCATTAAAAAGGGAGATAACTCATTATACTGAAATATTCTAAATTACTGTTATACCTAATGACTGACAATACAAGAATACTTCATACAATTAGCAACATGTCAATCTTGTAATTGCACACATGATATGACAACATTTTAATTTACAGTCTTACCGTCCACTCCCAATAGAGGGAAATGCAATACTTTTAAGGTTCTTTTCGTCTGCCAAGGTAAGGCAATTCTTGACGGTTTTCTCTAACAACTGATGTGGATTACTGGAACTCCACTGAGGTCCATTACAGTGGACTACAAACTTGGCAGGAAACTGATGTCCCGGACATATGGCAGCTAGTGAGATAAAGTGGCACCAGACAGTGGTCAGTTACCAGTCTAACATGACGTTCAGCCTACCTGTACATAGCCACACCTACTAAGAGATAAATCAAAAACTTGACCCTAGCATGCTAGTCCTAATAGTAAACCAAGGTCATCAGGTCAGAGGTCAAGCCAATGTCCTTGGAGCTCACAGGAGTACAGTTGAAGACACTCAGGGGATAAATAGGGATGAGACGGGGATACAACAAGCAACATGCCATAAAACTTCTAGCAGCAAGTTTAAACGCTCACAGGATTGATACTTTATTAGATAAGCATGCAAAAAAGTGTTTAACTACCACCAGGGTACACATCAGATTTATCTCCTGTGGATAGGTGTAGCTTTGTCCCATAAACACATGGACACCCAGAGGTAGCAGTGGTCTTCTCATTAATACTTTGGAAACTTTACAAATGATTTCTCTTTTTTTTTAAATACATATTTGATAGATGTTCCATATCATGAAATTCCCTGAAAAAAGTTTTTGTTTAATTTCTGAGAGACAAATTTTCCTGTAAAACTTTAAGAAAAGGTAGAGACATTTAAAATACTTCTACTTATAATTTCATATACATATAGTACATGTACGTAAAATTTCAAATTCATAATTATGTACAATGATGCAAGTTATATTACATGTACTTGCATATTTATGTTTATTTGTAAAGTAGAATCTCCAGTATAATTATAAGAAGATCACACCACTACCTCAGTGTGCTACAAGACATGGCAACATAATACAAGATATACAAGACTTACTTTCCACTACCTATTGATGGTATAGCTATGGACTTTAAATTTTTCTCGTCGGCCAGTGTTAATACATTCTTGACAGCCTTTTCCAAGAGTTGTTGTGAATTGGTAGTCCCCCATGATGGACCGTTGACGTGGATCACATATTTTGCAGGAAAAGTATGACCAGGACTAATGGCAGCTGAAAATTTGGTGTTAGCAACTAATAATAATATTGTGTTCTTAAAAGATGTTTTAGTAATTGTTTCAATTTTAGTTTACATCAATCCCAAGATATATAATTTTCATAAAGAAATTACCTCACGATGCTTTTACAATATAAATCATCTTACCATAGAAAAATTCAGAAAACTTTGGTGAAAACTATTCATTTTGCAAGAAACTTGGGCCCAATATTTTCATGGTTAAAAACAGTAAGGCATTTCAGACTAGTTTCAAAATCTATAATGATGATTTCAATCTCAATATACCAACTGTTTTTAATTGTATGCATACAGTCAAACCTGCTCATGTGACCACCTCCATTGAGAGACCACCTGTGTTAAGAGACCACTTTTAAGGTTAAAACTGAACTTGCATTAAGGCACCACGTTTTGAACTTCTCACGGGTGGTCTCTTAACACAGGTTTGACTGTACACACACTGACCACAAAATTAACTTGCTTAATTAAGAAGGCCAATATGTTGTAAAACCATATACACTGTACATGTATTTGATTAATTCAAACAGAAACTCAGTTCACACGTAATATACTGTACAGAGATCATAAATGTACCAATGTATGAGTATGATCCAGAGACCCAAAGCAAAGGATTTAGGTTTCATTTTTTTAATAATTAATAGATAATTGAATGGCCGACCAGTTGTGAAACGTACCTCCTGCTGTGTCCAAAGCACCATTGGATTTATATAGTTCATCAACTTCTTTGCGGAACTCCTTCCCACCAGCTTTCTCAATAGCAGACCCTGAGTGTTTAATCCAGTATCAAGTCACAACAATGGCAACAACAACAATTCAATCTGTTTGAAGGAGATTCAAGGATGGAATAGACTTTATATATCTGATTGACTGGCTGGTAGTTTGATATAAATAAATGTGTACAACAGTTTGCTGACAACGTTGGATGGATATCCAACCTTCATAATTATCTCAAGGTCAAAGTTCATTCAATATACTGATTTTTGTTAATGACTGTATCGATGCAAGTTTAAACTTCAACACCCATACCAACTTTAAACTAGTTACTCATTTAAGTAGATGGTGATGTCGTAGATGTGTCAAAGTTTTCTTCATTTTATGTATTTAACTAAGATAGCCAAGTTAATTATTCAAATGACCAACAGTTTCTGAAGCGTAAGGCCAGTTACCACGGCAACCACAGATGGTGTACTTACCTACTTCACCCCCCATGTAGAAGGCAGAACTGGTTGGATGTACAATGGCATCAGCCATGATTTTAACAAGGTCCCCTTGTATCACCGTCATCTGAAACAGGTTCTGACTGTTTGATATTTGTCGAATTCAAGACTGAATATGAGGTCTAGTTTGTTGACCTCTGCCTAAAGAGATTCACTGTCAACTGATCATGTTTTTATTTTCAAACAAGACTGGGCTTATTGCTATTACATATATCTGGATAATCAGAAAATTTTCCCTTACACGTTTTTTCAAACAAATTAGATGTCGGTGTCAAAAACTATAATTATCTCCCTTGGATCATAAGCTTTGCGTAGAACTTTCATCTCTGCTTTAGTGTAAAAAAGTTAAATGAAAACATTTTTAAACATCTTAATTATTTTATTTCATGTTCCACATAGAAATTGGCATTGACCTGAACCAATATATTCATTTAAGACTAAATACTTCCTCAAATGTATAACAGCCTTCCTCACCTTCTGTCCCAGAAACAGCTTTTTCTCTGACAGTATTGTGAAGTTCCCAGCAGCTGTCGCAGCCACAGCTTCAGCAGATCCTGTGATACCCTATACAACACACAAGATATCTGGACGTTATACCTGTGAATTTTCCATGCTATATTATTTTCAATCAATGGATAAGAAATAAAATACAATTCTGAGATCCATGAACAGATATCACTGATCATATTTATGTACTTTGTATAATATTCCGTTTAAATGCCCATGTTTTGTTTTAATTTATTTTTAAAGATGATCACATGGCCATTTAAAATTTTACAACTATTGGATACATGTGATACTGAATTTAGGGCAAAAGTACTAGCGAGATATAGTCTGATGTGTTTTAATTAAATTTATATGTACATGTATATATAAATGTTCAGAGTGTTTAGTTCATAAGCAGAAAAGTCAACACACTATACATTTAATCTATGAACAACATAGTTGTTTGTGTTACAACATTTGATTGTTTTATGCCATGTAATGTACCAAACCTATTCTGTCCTTCTGCCGAGCACACTACAGACTCATAGCCAAGTCTTGGGAGGAAATAGTGTCCTCAATATCAGTAATATAACCTCCCAAAACAACACTATAAAGATACAATGTCCTCAATAGGAGGAGATGATAGACATTAGACAACAAGTTTGACCCATAGGAACTACACAAACCTTCAATGCAGGCTTGACCTTAGCTATTTTTCCTGACTTTCCTGGCTTAGCTGCTGGTTTAAGAGGTGCTCTCACAACTTTCGGTGCGACCTTGACTTTTGCTTTTTTCGATGAACTTGGAGTGTCATTCTGTTTTGATGGACTTTTGGATTTAGTTGCATTGGTTTGTATAGATAGTTTAGGAGGTTCAGAATTCATCTGGAATTTAGAGCCTTTTTTCCTCATGAGAAGTTCTGGTTGTATTCGAGGAAGCACACCGCCATTGGCAATTGTCACATGTTTTAGTAACTGAAAGGAAACAAAAAACAAGTTATAATATACAATATATGTCAAATTCAGGAGTAGGGCTTGTTACAGGACAAAGAAATGGTCTTGGTTTGCATTTCCTTTGACATCATGAAACAGATATGGGCGAGTTTATTACCAGGTTTATTGCCTGTTAATTCCAGTGTATGCCAGGCTTTTTATACCCCCAGTAATACCAATGTAAATTGAAACTGTACCCTCAGAATTATATTTATATTAAATTGGTGTCACATAGGAAAAGGAAACAACTAAAACGGTATGAAAATGTGTTGGTTTTAGACTTAAATATTATCCTCCTAACGTACACCTCAGTTTATTTTTGAAAGAACATTTCTGAATTTCATGTCACAGTTAATTGTTATCAGTATATTGGTTGAATTGAGGGCACTTCGGGTCTTCCAGAGCTATGGTGACATCGCTTTACTAAAGATGGCTTCTTTTTAATTATCAACAAACCTGATTGAGTTCTTCATCATTGGCCACTGCCAGTAAAATATGCCTAGGTGTGACTCGACTCTTCTTGTTGTCTCGAGCTGCGTTACCAGCAAGCTCCAATATTTCAGCTGAAAAATATTCACAGGGTAAATAAATTACATTTTAACATGATGTGATGCATAAAACTTGGTTGCCTGATTCTATACCTGCAGTCTCTCACTGATTTTTTTAATAAATATAACTTTTGGTGGTTCAAAATGATTATATAACCACTCACCACAAATAAATTTAAAAAGTACTAGGGGTGGAAAGGTGCGTGCTGAAAATGTTCATATGCATCCTACCAACCCACTTTGACATGTCTTGGGTCAATTATTAACAGCATGCGCTCACAGGGTGAACAATACATAGTATTGTTCTGAAGATTGCAAAAAAGAAAAATTAGGGAAAAATATAAACTTGATATCATACTCCGTAATGACATGAGTGTTTTCTTATGTTGTGTCATGCAATATAATAATTGATTATTTTTAAGTGCGACATATGTAAATTGAAAGACTCCGCTATAATCAATTACTTTCAATCTCTCATTGTGACCTGCTTCATTAGTCAATTATTGTCCCTGACCCTGCTTAATTCATCGCGCCAAAATCCACATTTGCGCACATTTAGTCAAATTATTTATATTTCATATCAAATGCTGGGTCATGCTGACATTTTGTTTTTGACTGTTTTGATAATTATCCAAGACAATATTTTACATGGCGCAGCTACTTGATGATACATTGATGAAAGGTCTGAGCAGTCAGTCATCACTGAATGATCATTTAATCATCGAATTTGTATATTTGGTATAAACCTTTTCTGCTGACTGTGCTTAAAGCTTAGGTGAGCATGTATGTACACAAACAGGGAAATAATAATGGTTGAGTCGGTACCGGTGAGATACTCTATGACGGCCGCCATGTACACAGGTGCCCCGGACCCAATACGATAATGGTGTGTCATGTTTTTCAGGTATCTTCTCATCCTAGCCACAGGGAATAAAACCCCGGCTTTAGCCGATTTCGACGTTGCCTTCTTCTTTTTAGCACCGCGAGCTGACATATTGCTAGACTCTAGTGTCGAGGTTCGACCAACAAGCGACACAACGAATGTGTTGATTGGTAACTATTTATACATTAGCCTCTCAGCAAGCTCAGACAGATCTACAGGAAGTAGAATCAGCTGTTCCATGCATTGGGGAACGCCCCCTTTTATTTTAACCCTGAAGCGTACAATAATACAAACAGAGACGTATATATTATATACGTCTCTGATACAAATTATTTATTTATTTATTTACAAAGCAGTAGTTTGTATGCTTGTATAGCCGTATTACGGTAAGATTTAAATAAGCCCTAAGCAATGACAGATTATTTCTTTAGATATTAGTTATCTAACCATAATAAATGGATCAATCAATTAACACTCAACTCATGATCATCAACTATTATATTTCACTCCAATATTTCAATCGAAAATAAACAAAAACATATAATTTTCTTCACACTTTTTCGAGCTAGAAAGCCAGCCTTAATATCCAAAATATAAGGTTATGTATGTTTTAGTAAATATTATACATGTATTGATGTGCTATTTGACACAAATCGATTTTCAAATGTTAACAAGAGCCATTGGCCTGTTTCGTTCACCTGCTATTCAATGCTGTTAGAAAATAAAATCAGATTCGTGACCTTCAAACTGGTTTAATGACTTGAATATTTAAACTAACTTGATAGTAACTGACACTTATAATTAACACTGCGCTGTACTGGTAAATCTTTGTATACGTCCCTGGTCGGATATGATGTTAATTCAATACACACCATTTGACCTTCAAAGTTGGTCAATGTCATTTGAGTAAGTAAACTGTGAAGTGCTATCACAGCAAAGTATATGTCAATTTCACATGTAACATGCCTTAGCCATACTTGTTGGGGTTCAGAAGAATCTCTTATACTGCTTCTCACACATTGACCCATATATGTGACCAGTAATTCGGTAGAAAAAGTGTAACAGGAGAAAGAGAGAAACTTATGGCCAGACCGGGGTTCGAATCCGGGACCCTTCTAACTCTAGATGGACGCTCTACCAATTGAGCTACGATCGACCCAGTCCAGTGAGTTCCGCTACAGAAGTAATCTATTGTATTGGATTAACATGATGCAACCCGATTGCAGTATAATTAGATTTAAAGAATCAACATTTTTGATCTAGGGCTATCATTGCAACGTGAGGTTGGGCACCCATCCGGCCACTGACCACACTCGACTTTGACGTCACTGAACTAGTGAGCGCGTCTCAACGTCACTGATCGAATTTACCGCATCGTTTGACAAGCTAGCTTGCCACGATGGCAGTGTCTCCCCAATCTTATTCCTTGACTATTCTAGAGAAGAAATCTAAATGTGCCAGCCATCAAGAGTGTTCTACTTAGATTGTTGGGTTGGCATGAAAATTCAGAACTCAGTCATATTCGAAAACTACAGAACATTTGTATCAACTTTGGAGCGGATCGCTGAAGCCCTTTCATGAAATAAATTGGTTTAAACAACACAGGGTATTGACATTATATTGAACAGTTGTACTGAGTTTCGAGTCAGTCGTTGCAGCCATTCTTGAGAATAACGGTTGAATAAGGAGTCTCAGCCAATCTGAGCCATCTTTGGGGTTGGCACGAAAAAAGAACATTTGTACCAAGTTCGATTTCTATCGTTACAGCCATTCTTGAGAGGAAATTGACAATGTATCGGCCTATCAGAGGGCACGACATAACTTTGATCTACCGTGGTTAATTTCATTTGCATACAGAGTCATTGGCTTTTAATCTTAAGGGTAGTGAAATTAGAAGGAATTACCAAGATGTTTTCGTAATGCCTGTTCCTATTTCGTACTTTGCTTGCGGTAGTTCTCGTCAAATAGTGGATTGCTGATGTCGCTGGTAAAGCTCGTTGAAGTGAAAGATGTAACGAACCATGTCTGGTCATGATTAAGAGGTATCTATACTAGCGGGAAAAAAGAAACTGTGCATGCGGAGAATTGTTATAGAACATGTATTACCAACTGTATATATACATGAAAATTCACACACATGACCGAGTATGACACATACACACTATTCGTGTGTCATTAACAGTTTTTCCCGTGCAGTTTGCTCTCTATAGGCGTTGACCAGTTTCACGTTTTTCTCGACCAGCCATCCAATTCGACAATGAAAAATTATTTTTCAACTGTTGGGTCACTCTGTTGAGACCAGTGAACAGTAAAAACAGCATTATAACGTTTTAACTTGTGATTAATGCTATGCCTAGGCTCAATGAAAATGACCGCCTCCGGATTATTGGTATGCTTCAAGCTGGTATGGGCCAAGCAGTTGTCTCTACACGTTTTCATGTCCATCGAAACACAATCCGGAATTTGTGGAGACGACATCAATAATTTGGCCACGTCGGCGATCGACCTCGTGTGGGACGTCCACGTGTGACGTCACGTCAACAGGACAACCATATTCGGCTTGTCCATTTGACAAATCGCTTCCAAACGGCAAATTTGACTGCACGGACAATCCCCGCCCAGTTCTTCTGCCACGTCATCGTGTAGCACGTCTGGACTGGTGCAGAAGGCATCTGCGATTTACTCGACGGGATTAGGCAGGCATTTTGTTTACGGACGAGTCGCGAGTCCACCTGGATAGTAGTGACGGCCGCTCCAGAGTGTATCGTCGCGTTGGAGAACTTTTCCATGACGCGCGTGTGGTACAACGACGTTCTTTCGGCGGAGGCAGCGTTATGATTTGGCGCGGCATCACAGCCAACGGGAGAACGCCTCTGGTGGTTGTTAACGGGAATTTGAACGCGCTACGTTACCGTGACAAGATCCTCCGAACCCACGTCGTTCCATTCGTGCAAGGGCAGCAACGTCACATTATGCTACAGCAGGACAAGGCCAGGACACACATAGCTCGTATCGCTATGGACTTTCTGGCCCAGCAGAACGTTGACGTGTTGCCCTGGCCTGCTGTATCCCCCGATCTGTCGCCCATTAAACACGTCTGAGATGAAATGAAGCGCAGATTACGGGCATTACCTAATCAACCGGTGACGTTGGCTGATTTGGCTGCAGCGTTGGTGCAGACCTGGAATGCCTTCCCACAGGCATTCTTGAACCGTCTGATAGGCTCCATGCGTCGACGTTGCCAGGCTTGCATTCAGGCAAACGGTGGACATACGAGGTATTAACTTTTTGAACTCAGTATTGACCCCTGCTGTGTTTACGTCACACCGGAGCGGAACTTATTGATTCCATAACGTGGAAAATGGAATGCAACTGTTATTAAATAACAAATAAGTTGTCCCTGAAAACCTTGTTGGTCTACGTCATACACATTTAATTTTATAACAACTTTTAGGCATGCACAGTTTCTTTTTTCCTTTAGTATAGTAGCATTTCCCCGGCTAAAATCTTCTGTCATTTTTAAAATTTTGGAATGGATGTCGAATGTTAGATTGCTGATGTTCACTGTGGTCCCCCCCCCCCCCCCTTTTTTTTTTTTTTTTACTACGGAAGAAACAATTTAGTGCGTTTACCTTTTTGTTGTCACTTTTCGCCACTATTCTTTGTCATTTCCGTTAAATACTGATATGAACGTTTTTGTTTTCGTGTTTGCGTTATAGAATTCTTTGCCATTGTATTCTCAACATTCTGAACTCATGGTTTAATTCCTCTTTTTTTTACACTTCTTTCCAGTTTTAGTTTCAAATATCTCCATGTTCGATGATTCCATTTTTAAGTTTTCTAAAGTAGATCATATATATTGCCTTATCTATCGACATGCTATTTTGGGGTATATGATGTAGCATAGCAATTTGGATTTGTTTTATATCCAGAATTTTTTTCCGGTTTTTGAAAGAAATTTCCTCTCGATTTATAGAATGGTTTATTAATTGATTTCTAGCACAAAGATGCTTTGGGTCAGTGTTACAAAAGTTGAAGATATACATTTGATTACAAATTTTGTATTTGCACATTTGCAACTACAAAGTAGTTTAAAGGCAAAACATTAAAACACAGTGAAACACATACATAGACATGTACATGTATAAAATTCGCAAAGCGATAGCTTATATTTCTAATTTACATTAACATGAACAAAATAAACAAAGCTTCAAATAGAACATTTGATTGAAACATTTTAAGCTGCAAAGTCCATACCTTAAATACTGTCAGCAAGCCCACTCTCCTCAGTTCTAGAGACTGTTTGATTACACAAGCTTTTGATGGAGAACACATCATAGTAACGCTTTCCCGTTAAATTCTAATATATTTAAATAGTGAGGCAGAATACTTCAAAACTCTAACGACTTCAATCGAGAATTGCTTATTTATAACTGAGTATTTTAAGTTACTGTACGTGCATTTTGTAATATAGATATTATATTGTCAAGGAAAGAAAGGGAAAAGTCAATAACGCTACTGCTAAGTTCTGACAAAAAAACTCCACTCCCACTGTTTTGTCAAAAAATGACCATTACAGTGATTAGATGACCTTTCGTTGCATTTTTAACGGGGTATGGTGTAAGGGAGATAATTCACTGATGAATATAACAGAGTTATCTCTCTTGCATTACTCATGTGGACTCGTCATCTCTTTTAACACAGTGATCAATATCTATATTATTACAGAAAAACGTGTACCAAACTCATCATAAGGATCGTTATTTTAATAAGCTTAATTGTGAGTTGTAGAAATTGGAGTATCGTTCAACTTAATCCCCCTGATGTAGCTAAAAGTTTGACAAACTTGCCACTCTTAGGTTGATATTGCACGTGAGTGTGAATGCAACACTTTGATAAAACTCAATAAAGCGAATACCATATTTCAATAATTTGGTCATAAAACAATATTGCTGTTGAAATCAATTGATAGCACATGTAATCATTAAAAGGAAAACAAAGCCAAAATCGTCAACGTTGAATTCAAAGTTTAATGTTTAAAGTAATACACCAATCGCATTCCGATGCAACTTTTTGGCATATATCTGTATCGTACATTAGTTGGTCTCAATTCCCCGATCTTTCTCAATATACATAGACTCAAAATAAAGGACTCAATATTCAAAGTACAAAATGATGTAACTGTGAAGGGTTAACAATTCCTTTATTTCGATTTGTTAAGCATTTTTTTCTGTGAAAACTAGGTTTTCAATCATTCAGTGAGGAAAAAATAAACGGACAAAAAAGTACATACATACAAAATCGGTATTTTGTTTCCTGATAGACTGACTGGACTAACATAAAGATGTGTCTGTCATAACTGTATATGTGTTCTGTTTAAAGGGGCATCACGGTGAAGTAACTTTATTTTTTGTCTTTTTTTCAAATACTACATAAACATATCAAGTGAGACTCCTTATGGAAAATAACGATCGGATTTGGCTGAAATAGATTCATAAAAATGATTAAATCTAAGAAAATCATCGGTATTTCTACCTGTCTGACCAACGTTTTGTTCAGGGATTTCCCTCTACTAGCGNATTTTAACGTGATGTCCCTTTAACCGTGGATTTAGATCTAATCTAATTTCGTGGTTAAACCTATTCTTGTTTTGCGTCGTGCTCAACTTCAATTCGCCCTTATTTAAAAACTAAAAAACTTATCTATAATTCTAACGTTAGGCAGAGACGTTTATTATATAATACGTCGCCTAAAATATAACACTTCTAAGAAAACTGTGTAAATTCCCTGCTGAATTAGTTACTGAAGCATTAATTATTTGTCATAATATGGTGAAAAAGGCATCATCCTTTCACTTGTGTGGCAGCGTATGTCTATTGGAGCCGATTAAGTTGACATGTTCCACATCGGAACACATTATTCCAGTTAGTTTATAAACATAACTGGGAGCATTTAATTTTTTTTTTTTCATTTAATGGAAGTTTTGACATTTCTGAATAATGTCGTCGCACATGTTCCAGTTTCTAGGAATTATTTTCATTTGCTTCATTTACTTTATTTACATGTTCTTCTTAAATTTAAATAGCTAAAAAACATTTTACGTTACACAATAACACCCATATCGAGGATGAAAATAACCAAATACATATATTAAGTCTTCCGATCGCCTACGCACGTTATTTGCGTTATTAAATAATGATATTCTTTCAGTAAAAAATATGAGTCACAGTGACTGAAAGCCTAAGTGTTTTTTCCAACGTCCCCCTCATTTTGGACTGTTCTATTCGGAGGGGTGGTATTTTGTTTCTGGCATAGAAAGCTGATGGGTACTTTGACACACAGCTTGAATTTGAATAACTAATTGCTGATTATCATCACAATTATTTTGTATTTCTGCAAGTTTTGGCATACAATTTCTAAAATCATTAAATATTTCAATGCGTGGACTATTCCAAGGAGTAGTAAACAACCTGAGTATTATTGACCAATCAGAAGCCGACAAACATTTGCTGCCTGACCTTTCAGATGACCCACTTCAATACACAACATAATATTATCTTCGTAGAGGAGTAGCTGTCAACAGCGAAGTTGATCATGGATTCGCGATTCTTTTACCATTTTATAGCTTTGTGTATACTTTTATCCTTTGAAATAGGTAAGTAACTTTTATCCTTCGACATTTGTTTTCTTGGTTTTGTTTGTTTTGTGAAATTTTGAGTGAGGTGTTTGTGTCAATTTGCGAATCAATTCAAGACTGGTCTAGCTAGCTGGCCATGGTATGCTACTGTGCTGATAAGTATCGGTAAAGGCAACGAGATATGCGAAGGTTCAATCACGATCGAATCACTAATGTCGCATGTAAGAAAACATAATGTTGTTTTATTAATAGTTTACCTTGAAATAAAACGTACTGTTGTGCCATGTATCGGATATTGGACAATGTAACTAAACCATCTGATTGAGATTCCTACAGGAATTATGTAACGTCCAGCCATGCCACATTGGTATCATTGTTGTTTTGTTTGTAAACCCAGACAGAGAAACGGACCAGCGATGTGAGAAAGACTAAAAGGGTGTTCAGTTCATCTTGAGCTGTGTGACCCTTAAGAGTGTTTTTAACTGTTTTGTAAATGAGGTCACACAGACTTTGACCAGAGTCTATAATTTATTCTCTGCTTTGGTTATGTTCAGAAAATAGGACAGTAAAATATATGAAGAGAAGCTGTATCACAAGATGCATACAGGAAATGGCATGGTGACATTTTTTAGTCGCCTAGCCAAAAGGGCCATATCTGCTATAGTAATGCATTGCTTTCTGTTCATCACCCGTTCATTAACCTTTTCCTTTAAAAAACACCTCTTCTCAGGAACCATGAGATAGATTACAACCAAATTTATTAGTAAGTATCCCTAGGTGATGTTGATTTGCAGGTATCTGCCTCGAAAAAAGTGGGGATCTACTATATTATACTGTATCAGATTTGCCATTTAAAGGGGTTGACAGCTCCTAATTGGCAGTGTGAAAATTTTGATATTCGTTATACAACACTCTAAGTAAAGTTAATAAAGGAAAGCAATATCTCAGTAAAAGCAGCCATAGAGAACACTCCAGCATTTATTGTCGAGAGAAGCAAACTGCCAAGAAGCATGATATAAAGCCAGTAGCTTGCTGTCTAAAATGTTTGGGGAGTGGGGGAATTTGCATTGATCCATATTCAATATCACAAGAGTCTATTAAGCACACTGTAATTAAAATGGCATGATCTTTTAAATAACTGAAAGTTCTGGAATCAGTATACTTGGTTAGCATTTGGCTGAAACACAGAGCTACAAATTTGTGAAAAGAAATACTGTCATCCATTATTGAAGGTCACAAGCCAGCTTACCAGCAGTTTCCTGGCCTTGAGTCCTTCAAAGTTTTCAAAATGAAATGCCCATGCTCATAATCAAAGCATCGTCACAAGAGTCTGAAGTGTTTAAACACTCCAACAACCTATGAACTGAAAAGCTAAGCATCTGGATATTTTTCCTGTACATGTACAAGCATATATAAAGCTTGCTGAAATATAGTGTTCACTGTAGAAGAAGTTTAGCAATTTGAAAAGAAAAACTACTTATAAGTTATATTACAGTAAACAAGGTTGAGAGTCTTCAGGTTTGATACTCTTTGTTGTACTACCTACAGTTTATGACCATGACCACAAACAAGTAACGATGATAACGAGTAATTACTATTATATATAGCAAAATTAATCTTTTTGAAGTGTATGACTAGAGCATACTAATATTCGGTTATGAAGACCCGATACAGCATATGATGCATGAGCTTCACTACAATTAAAAAAAGATGAAACAGCATCCTGTGACTGATTATTACTGATATACATAAATTGTCTGTATACACTAGTACTGTTACCTGCATAAAAGCATGAACAACAATATATGTAACCTTCCAGTTCCACATATGACAAATGAAGTGTTTATTATTTTGCAGCAGAGGCTTCCCAAGATTTATACCGATGCCCCACTGTTGTACGACGTGACCTCAGTAAACATTACAGTGTGAGAACGTTTCAGGACAAGTGTTATGTGTTTGTTTCTCGTGAAGGAACATGGATTACTGCAAGAGAACGATGTCACAATTGGGGAGGGGAGCTGGTCTCCATTCCCAACGAACATATAATGAAATTCCTGAAACGGACGTTGGGTAGTTTACGATGGACAAATACAGGCACATGGATTGGTGCTAACAGCAGAAGTGGGGGTGTATGGAGATGGACAACTGGTATGGTGTTTACTCAGCTAGTTTAGTTTGACACATGAAATGTATTTATAGCAACTTAAAAAACTGTTGCTATGCAAAATTTGGAATTTCTGATATTGATAAAAAAAAACGAACCTGTATGATAAACATCAATTAAGTTTCGGTTTAAAGTTGTATTTTATGGATACAAGTATGCTCAACTGTACTGCATATAAATAACACCAGGAATATTGATAGTTAAATTTTAGTAATTTCAATTACGCTGTAAATGAAACATAAAAAAACAAAACCTGTCTTTATTTAGACAGTATTAAAAATGGAAATATGTACCTTCAGTGGCATTTTGGTTAGAGAGGTTTTCACTTTCGATCTAAATGTAATGTACTGGTAAATTGCACATATCCATGTATGTACCCATAGGTACACAATTTTATGTAAAGTGAATTTTACCTTCTCCTTAAAAACCTGGTTCAGTTGTATGTATACATACATACCATGATCAGGGATTGGTGATTTGATGGTATTAACTCATTCACCCCTGAAATTGCATAATGGACTATTCCAACCTATGAATTGGAAGAGTTCAAATGTGTCTTCAGGGGTGAATGAGTTAAGAAATCAGGGAATTTTTCATAAAAATCATATCGATGAAGGAACGAGGAAATCGAAAAATTATTAAAAATACATTGTTTAATTAATTAAAGTATAAATTTTGTTTAATTAATTAAAGTATAAATTTTGTTTTTTATTAGGTGAGCGGTTACAGTGGGGCTACTGGGCTCCAGGCCAACCCAGCAAATCCCTAGGACTCTTCTCTATCGAGGACTGTGCCCTAATGAAGAGACAGGATGGCTATCGTTGGCACGACTACCACTGTGACACAGACATGTTCTTTAAATACAGATCCGTATGTGATTTCCGTAAGTATATGGAACTTAAGATTTATTTCTATTTGTCACATTGTATTGTGATTAGAATGGTGTATGGGAATGAACATGACTATGTTCATTTAACCAACAGATTTATAAAAAAAGTTGTCGGAAAACAAACATTATGTGGGTTCTGATCGGATTAGAACAATAAGATTTAGTAGAAAATTTAATCAATGATTGAATTAGACAGGACCAAGTCCAAAAATGGGTTTAATGCTGTACCGTCGATCATTTATATTTAATGATACAACATGTACATACTAGTACATAGCTAGGTGTTGAATGAACTCAGCCTCTGATCATACAGACAATTGATTGTTAGTTGTCTAGTCAAAATGGAAAAACTTCATTGTTTAATATATATATATATATTGATTATTGAGTGTTCCTCATTCAGTCATTATATAGAAATTAAATGGTCAAATGATATGGTAGAACTAAAATGTTTTCCAGTAACACTGAAGTGCTTTAATTCCATGGCCTGTTATATATATATTGAGAAGTGTTGTTGGGTTTTGTTAAAATACATGTCTTTCATATATGATGATCATGAATGATATCAGTATGAAGGAAGTGAGACAGATGTTTGGTAAAGATGATATCAAACCTTGTCACAGGTGTTTTAAATTTGAAAATGCAGTAAATGATATTGATATTATAAACTGGCCAGCAGCATAGAACTGCATTGTGTATTATGTGAACTGCATGCTTATTGATCATCAGTTAACTGATATCAACTGATTACATGAAATCATCAATCGATCATGAATTTCTAGGAGATTTTAATCATCAGATTAATTTAATCTGATGTACATTAGTCTATATCTACATAATATACTGCAGTACCACATACAGTACTGTTATTATACATTTTCCTGAAGTCACAGAGTATTTTTGAGGAAAAATATATCGAAAAGTGGTTAGGTGCGCAATAATCAGATGAATGTCATGTGTGCCTGTATATACCTAAGGTCTACACAATAAACATAAGTGTTATCTTGGATTTCAGATAAAAACTTAAGTGGTATCTTGTTTATTACATACCTCCAGCTGTTATTTTCTGCAAAATAATGTTCATGATTATCGATTATAAATATAAAGTTTGCCTTCTGAAAACTGGAACCAAACTACAACGGCAGAAAAGTTAATGTTGAGGCACCGTAACGAAGTGACATTACCATCAGGTAAAATCATCCATGCTAAAATATTGTGAATCTGTTCTTGTTCCAATTTTTCAAGAAGATAATTATGAGTGCATATCAAACAGACAAGATCCAGTCAAAAAAGCAGTTATGACTATAAGTTAGGCTAATAGCATAATACACTGTTCAACATTTTGTATTGTCACAGTTTGACATACGGATGACCCGAAAAAGGTCTATCTCCCTACAGTTACATACCTGACCTATGTACAAAAATGTTATCTAATTCGTGTCATGTGGGATTTTACTATGTATAAACACATTATCTACCGGTACTATATGATTTACATGTAGAATTGGATTTCACCTTGTGAATTAAGTAGCTAATAATATGCTAAGTTATCATAATTCCAACGAAATAACAAAGACTTGCCTCCTAAAAATGTTTATATAAACAAATTGATACTACCACCTGCAATGATATAACTGGTACATACATGCCTGAACACTTGTTTACCTGAACTCAGTTTTCTGCTTAAAGTGAAATTAATATATTTGGTTGTTTAAAGTAATTTGTATCAAGATATTTGTATTTTAGAAAAATGAAATGTATAATCTATAAATCAGAGCGGCCAGGTATAGATCGCTTCATCCTTATGTACAAAAAATAGTAATAATAAAATATAAGCGCATCGGCAAACCAATACCTTGGTATACGTATGTGAAGAGACCTGCAACAAAATAAAGTTGGAAATACAAAAATGCATAACAAAATAAAAGAAGATTAACACATATTCTGTATGCAGAGTCCTTGGTTATTTTTTTTATTTTCTTTTTGAAAGAAAGAAAAAAACATTTGCAGTTTGCCAACATTATGAGTTATAGTAATAACGTTAACTTAGGTCATGCATTCTGAATAGCTAACACATTATCAGTTTCTTTTCAAGAATGGTTGTTATGATCAGGACATCAAATTTGGTACAAAATGTTGATCTGATCGAAGGCTGTCAGGACCAAATTTTTACTTGAAATTTGAAGAAATGATGATATACATCCAAAATCTCAATTTTCTGTACATGAGGAGTTAATTATGAAGAGATTTAACATTTGTACACTCAGAGGCAACTCCCAGCTGTCTCTGAGGTCAGATGTACATGTCTACAGTGGTGTAGCTGGTCTACAGACACATGCATGCTTGTTGACATGGCAGGCCGTGTGATGTGGGTGTAGAAATTTGATAGAACAAAGCTTATTTAATTCACAGTAGTCTGTGTAAACAGCCAGACTCTTTCTAACAAGGCCAAATATCAGCAAAGTATCAGTGAAATAAATTACAGTACATTCCTAGGGCGATGGGAGACTTCCGCCAGATATCAAATTAGCTACTGAACTCAATATTAACCATGTCTGAACTTCAGACATTTATTTTTGATAAAAAGATCTGTTCAATCTCTGTATAGAAGTTATTCACATGCATCATAACTCTTTCATGTATCATGTTTTAGTGTTGAAATGTGTGGTTATGTTTTTATTTTTGTTTTAAAACGTAGCGTTCCTTGTCCGCGATGCTCTCAGCTTAATTGCTACCTTTAGCCGAGGGGACTATTGGTTTTATATTTAATAGCTATATTTTCAATTATAGTATATCAATTCTATCTTCTTGTAATATGATGTATATGTACATGTAACTGTTCTGTTTCACTGTGTCTTGAAAAAGGAGCGGATCGCTCCGAAAATTTGACAACCTAAACTTGTCCACACTGTTGGAATTACTTCTTTGCCCCATATACATGTATGCTGGTATAATTAAAGATCTGTTTTGGACCAAAACGATATGCATTCAAATTTTCACAAATTCATCGAAAAACTTTCAAGTAAATTTCTCTTTAATAATCTTGGCCATGGGCCCCTGACAGTAAGTCATGGACATGTCTAGTCAACTGTTTGTTATAATATAAGTAAGCATTGTAGATTGCCTCGATTGTTAGACTTTAAAAATGTTCATGGAGAATTTTCCCTTAGCATTTGTGTATCAGGTTTTATACGATGAAGTGGCACATATCAGTTCAAGTGTTTTTGTTTATATATATATATATAAGTACTAGTGAAGTCGGTGTAAGTGGATCCCAATATTTGAGTGGGACGATGCACTTAAATGCACATAACGGGATGTGACAAAAACAATCTGTGTGTGTATACATATACACCTCTAGGTTTCCCGCACCACTGCCAAAAACTGTAACTTTGAATTCAAAACTTTTTTATTCACATGACTATAGCTTCAATAAATCATTTTTGAAAAGAAACCCATATGCCTTGCGGAAAAGTTCCAACTCTGGGAATTTGTTCCAGAATCAAACCATAAAATGTGACTTGCAAAATTAAGACAACTTATATTAATTGCAGTGCTTTATCAATATAAATTTGATGTATGACTAAAGGGCATATCAGGATTATACATCCTCATTACTAGCATTTGTCTGTATAGATTTTGTCTGGGAAGCTATATTAATTCCTAAATTCATAATGAAATTAAAGTTTTGTGAAATATTTCTGTCCTTGAAGGAACCCAATTAAAATGTTCATGGTTGGCAATTTAGAACAAGAGATTCTAGGGAAGGCATATGGAACCCATAACAAAGAGATGTTTTGGTGGGTTTTTTTGCCAGGTGTATTGATGAACTTTTAAGTGAAACTTTCTGTTTCAGTAGTACTAGTTTGAACATTGTGTTACTCTTGAAATCGTTTTCCGGAACATAAGGTCATTCTGGATAGGTGAGGTTCCACAGTGTTTTAAAATTCGTGAACAACCAATGTAGATTTTGTATCTTATTGTATACAGCAGATGTAGGCCTTTTGTTGTTGTGGATGGAATGAGAAAGCTGTGTGACATTCCGAAGTGGGTGACACTAGAGTCTGATGACTGATGATAATACATTACTGTGTGTAACTAACACACTCTCCTAGCTGTACACTGGCCTCGTACAAATGTAGCTAGCTACAGCCAGAGAAGAAACTTAAGTTTTCATGTGCCTGCCAACACACACTATTTGATGGGTGCTCTCTCCCGCTGTATTGATCAAGGGAATCCACGATTGCGAAACCATTCGTCATGAAAACGTTTTCTTCATCATCACTTGAGTCAGGCATTATTGACATCAGTCACATCATTGTATCTTCCATCTATATTTTTGAACAGACACTGGCATCTAGTCAAGCATAATGGCAGATAGTTTTATTGGCTGTACCAGTTTCAGGGTGTTGAGAAATAATGTAAATGGCTCAAGGCAATAGGCTTTTATTTATATGAGATTAGTCAACAGTTGGTCAATACTGTGACACATTATATTGGCTCAGTCAAAAAATGAAAATGTATGGATCCCATTTGAAGGCAGGTTGTGCAGTTATTTTGTTAAATAGCTAACTGTGTACAGTAAGTGTCCACAACAGAGCACTAATGTTAGGTCAAATACGGTATATAAAGTGTATTCATTAATTCATTGTTATAGCATATGTATACATATATAATAAAACTACCTCTTAGTCCAAGTTATATGAGATCACAGGACTCTTGTTCTATTAGCTAAAATGACACATGATGGTACATTTTATCTTTGAAAAACATTGAAATTATTAAAACTAAAACCAAAATAAACATGTCCTGGGATTCAAAATAATATACTGTATATATACAAAAATATATTAATTTCTTCACATTAAAAAGGAATTTGTGAGTAGGATTGAGCATATCATTAAGCTGTAAGACACAAATCAAAGTTGGATACAACTGGTTCCACATCTAGAGCAGCAGCTTTACATGTACGTGTACGTGTACGTGTACGTGTACGTGTATAATGGATCGAGGAAGCACAAAGGATACGCAGTTGTCTGGGTAGATCACAAAATTCAAATTGTCTATTCAAAGTCTCACGTGGAGTCTTCAGGAACAACTTTGTGGGAACCACAAACAAGGCATAGATGGAAAATCAATGTACATGCACTTGTCTACAAGCCATTTCTAGAAAACTGTGATGCCTACTGCCTAGTGTAGCTAGGTCTGTTGTTGTTTCTAGTCGACATTCCCTTAATGGGATAGAATTCTCTGTTAATATCATCTTCACAAATAATTGATTAGTCCATTTGGTGTTAACTATGGAACTAGAATTTAAAATGAACCATGGGTTATATATATTTTTACATGTTTGTATTTATATTCCTACATATATTAACTCAAATTCTAGATAAATTGGAATTTGATAAAAATATTCCAATACCCAGTTTACCTTATTGCTGCAGAAAAGGGCCAGTATTCATGAAACCTTTCTGATGTTCAAACTCAAACCAAGTTTCCTATTTGGTCTGATTATCAATTAAAAATCAAATATTGTTTATGATTTTGGGAGAATTTGGAGATATTTGAAGCTGAATACCATTTTCATTGTGTACATTTTTACATGTAGAATTGACTTTTAGACTGTGTCAAATGATTTTACCAAGTTGTTAGTTATTGGGTTGAGCACAAAATTCATGCTAGAGCAGGGGAATGCTTTTCTGAATACAGCCCCATGGGCCAGGTCCCAGAGGATAAGGCTTAATATCACAAGCAAAATAAAGTATGGCATTAATTGTGTTATCTATGAATAGGAGCTCGAGGAGTCCCAGCAATGTCCGTTCGATACAGAACCCTTTCGTCTTCTTTCAGTAGCAAAAATAATCAAATTCAAATGCAGTACGTGTTCTAAAAGTTGTATCTTGTGATGACTCTTTGTGGGAGGAGTTCTAATTATATATCAGGCTTATAGTGACGTAAAGGTTTGCGCCAACTTGGCTGTGTAGAATTAAGTACATTTGTATAAGGTTGTGGCTCAATCAATACATTGATCGGCCTGACTTATAACTCTAGATCTGGTCCTATAGCACAGTTCTCAAACGCTTCGCCCTCCTTGATATTTATACACAGCATCGTTCTCCATTATGTTTTATCATATGTTCTGTGTCTGTGTTATAATGTCAGATGTTTGTAGTTAAGACCAATTACCCCAGTTCTAAAAGGGAACATTAGACTGTATATACCCTATGTATACAATCTGTATGGCACCATGTGTGTTTATAATGTAATTCTGGAGAGAAGCAGCACATCCTATCATCGTGAGGCAGGGGAGCACATCCCAACAACAGTACAGCAGTACTTGTACGTGGATCATAATATGTTACTATTTTACAAAGTGCACAAAGTAAATATTGTACATATGTATCTCACATCCACAAATGTTCCCCCATGATCATCTCTGTAATCTTTCATCTGCTTAAATCTATCACAGTTGCTTTGTGTTTTTTATCCTTTTCATCATTTCATCATGACCCTGAAGGAATTTTAAGTAATGACATTTTATTAATACAGAGAAACCAGAGTGTCTAACACAAAAAGGTTCTTTATAATCGAACAGATTCACAATATTGAAATTGAAAGGAGTTAATGAAAAACAAAAGTTGTCTTTTCGGAAGGTGTGAACTTATTAACAGAAATTAAACAGAAAGTAAATTCTCAGAATAGATTTTTTTTTTTTTTCAGAAATTGACTTATACAAATGGCCTACAGTAGGTCAGCTTGAATAAGTGACCAGATAATAACAGTATGGATGTATGTGGGAGATACACATACAGTAACCTTACCCATGTAATACAAACTTACACCTTCTACTTGATATTCCATTTGAGAATTAAAGAAGAAAACAGATTTGTTTTTTCATTTTAAAATTTGATCACATAGATGCATGGTAGAACTAGCTTTAAGTCATGACTATAAAAGTTGTAAAAATTTCCAAACATTTTATTACGTATTGTCAAAATCAGTTTTAGTACAACTATCTCTGCTCATCTTTTAAGTTACGTTTTTTTCTGTTTTGTTTATTCATTAAGGTATGTCGCCTCGTACGACTACCACTACTACCACCACCACCACCACCACCACCACTACAACCCCCACCACCACCACCACCACCGAGGCAAGCACCGTGGCCAACACGACCCTTGCTCCTGCCCCCAGTACAGAACCACTCCCCTCCAGTCAGGAGCCTCATCTGCTTGTTGCTCATGTCCCGAACTTAGAACCAAATCATGATAAGCCAAAGATAATGGAAAACCAAAATTTGGATTTGGGGTATCACAAAGGTTAGTGGTGTGATGAAAGCATGCCACCCTTTCTGCACAGTGAAACCACATGTTAAACACATACAATCTGAAGTACTTAAAGATTTGGTTTAAATGACAAAGCAAACTTTTTTTTTTAATTTTTGGTAAATTTCACTTTCATGATCATCCATCTCACAATTTAATTTCATTTTCAACATTTTTCAAATTTTACTCTATATTCATCATGAAATGATTTATATTTATTTAAAGAAACAATCAGTTTAAAAACTTTGGTTTAATGACATTAACTGACAATCTTCAAATACATATATATTATTTATGATTCTAATCTGTGTACCTGGATTTCTTGAGGTTGTCTGTTGTGGTAAGGGCTTCATTGTGTAGTGAGGGGACGAATGCTGTGCTTTACAGTATGCATATATGTATATAATCATCTACCTTTGTTTCCTTTCCTAGTCTGTTTTTGTTTTTTAATTTGATTTATAATTTCAAAAATTTCTTTGAACAAATTATGAATTTTTATTCAAAGATCAATTCTTAAGTTCAAATTAGTTAAAGAAGAGGAAAGTTTGTGAACACATTGCTTTGATCATTGTCCTGAATTCTGATATAAGTTCAACCAATATTATACCAGTAAATGTTATTGTATCGTTTACAAATTATTTCTTTGTCCTAAACTTATTCACGTTCTGTGTGTTTGTTACGTCATCAATATCCGGTAAGGTAAAAAATATTCATTCAAAATTTATGTAGGAAGAACGAATTGCATGCCGTGACATTTTTGTGGTAGTGTATTACAACACGTATATACAAGAGTGTGAACTAAACTTTGTACCCATGGCCAGTTGGCAACACACAATACTATATTCAAGTGTATACAAATTATAATAAATACATATATTGTCAGTGAATTTAAAGGCTGGCAGACAGGAAGTATCAGTGATCACTCGTCAATGGGTTGGACATTTTCTTCTCATTGATAAAAAACAATCCATTATGTGTAATCTTCAGACTGAATTTCTGAGAATAAAAATGTTTAAGATTATAAAAACCTATACCATTATTTAAATGACATGTTCCAACTATAAATAGAATGTGTTTTGGTTACTGCGATGTGTTACAGTGATAGCAGGAAGTGTTTGAGAAATTTTGAGGCTCTACACGAGAGAGACTTATAAAAAAAATGTATTGTGGCTCTAACAAGGAAGTTGTTCTCAGTTTAAATGGATTGATAGAATAAGAAGATTAAAACATGCCGTTATAGAAAACGAGGGTCTGTATGAGAGGTGTACATGTACATCTAGGACCTAATTAAATTAAAAGAAAATACATACATGTTTATCTATTACATGTTCTTACATATCTTGTTGCATGGCCTTAGAAATCCAATACAGAAAATGAGGGTTTTGATAAGATTTAGTAAATTAAACTACCACCAATATGAAAACCTAATTGGCCCCAGTATTGGATGTAAAAGTCCATTGTACAAAATGAGTATCGGTGAGCAAGGTTCAACATCTAAGGGCTAACTAATAAATCCAAGGATACAGATTTAAGATATTTTCTATTCCTGATTTCCTACCCTAAAAATTTGCCCTTAAAAACATTTTTTTAAATTATTCTATTAATCATACCTGTGGAGGTTCTGGGGAAGGCTATACACCTGCTGTACATGTATTACCAGCATTGTCATCCGTGTTTAATTCTGCTGAAGGACATTGGAGAAACCAAGTCAATCTGCTCCTCTCATAGTATCTCTTCATGATCAGACCTCTGCCTTTTCTTTTTCTCTCCTATCTACCTTTTCTTTTTGGCTAAATTTCCCACGGCACCTCTGGTCTCTGGTTAGCCCGTTGTCAGAAAATAGGACGGGGTTGAGTGTCATGCTCCTTGATATTTAATGTCCAAGTTTTGGCATTTCAGTGAGATGACACCATACTTATAACTGGCCCTTGATCATGATTAGCCCCATCATCTATCGACAACTCATTTGTATGACCTTAACTGTTTCAAGGATGTCATAACCCCTCGAATAAACAAACAAAGGAAACCTCTGTCTCCTCTTCCTTCCAAAATGGATACCTGATACATTTTATTTCACCCTCCCTTCTGACTCTCCCTCCTGACCATCCCCAGAAAATTACTGCATTTCGCGGATCATGACACAGAAATTTAAGACCTGCCAGAGGCAAGTGAAGCTGTTGAGGAACCACACACAAGCAATTTGATCTGCCACAAGATGAGCATTTGAATAATTCAGCCAAAGAGCTGTTCTTATTTAATTATCTTCCAGGTTTTATGAACCATATATCCATTTCCTTGACATGTAATGGTGTAAAATGTTAACCAGCTAATCACGGTATTAACCCTTTCACCACTGTAGACCATAATGGACTCATCCATATCAATGCATGGTACTAAAGTTACATAGGGGTGAAAGGGTTAATACCAGGTTCTTTAGAGAGCTAGCTGTGGCAGGGATGTACAATTTAGTATTCACTGACTACAAGCAAGAGCACAGACAGATTTTGTAAAAATTCTACTAGTCTAACCCATATTTTCATAGCAAATATTAAAAACATTTCGTAGCCCAAATATAAAATCTACCTCAGCAAAATGTAGGGCAGCTAGCTAGTCCAACAGATTCATCAGATGTAAAACAGACGCTCGATAAAATGAAAAGAAAATCATTCAGAGTTTTTTCAGAGTAAATATGAATCTTACCAGGTAGTAATTACTTAAATTTTCCTTCTTTCTATGCATAAACATTTTGTATATAATGTACAGTGTTTACTCATCATTATCAGATGTATAATAGTAGTCTAGTCTCCTGGGCTTCATTTCATACACACATATATTGTCATTTCTGTTCTTCCGTGTTTGTGTGGCTATCCCTGCTGTCTCTTTGTGAATATACGTGCATTTCCTTTTATTCATTGTGTCTTCAGTTGTTCATAGGGTTGTTGAAAACCATTCAATGATTCATACATTTCATTATCATGTTTTTGCATGCTGACATTACAAATATATATCATACATGATACTTGTCTGTCGGCATGATTGTCCTTTAAGGATGTGCTCCCTAGGCCTTCACAAATATACATGTACATGTAAAAGCCTTGCAGTGATTCCTTATTGCATGCATGTTATACATAGGAGATATGCCGATTATTTGTTTATCATATTCACAGTTATAAACCTACAGATGTAATAAAATGTTATGCAATTCGTACACATGTATACCATGTGAAAATATAAAATGTTTTAGGTCCTTAAGTTTGAACAAGCTATTTTATTGTAATATTGATACCAGGAGGGAAAGAAAGACAACATATATTGCTTCCCTGCAGTATTTGTGTCACCTTAATTTTGAGACAGCTTGAAGTGCATGTATAGCCATGTTGATGGTATACATTACCCGTGTGAAAATATGTTGTCTCAAGTTAAACAAAAAAGAAAAGTATCGATTTCACAAACTTGTGGTCCTCCAAAGGTCTGTTTGTTTTCTTTCATTACACACACAAAATTATATACAAGACTTGGACAATCAGTAATCTAATGTAATTTATCAAGATCGATTTATTTCAAGGTCTGTGACACAATATTGTTCCCAGTCAAACGCATGTTATGTATGCATGTACATGTACCAGCATAACAGGCTTCAAATGATGGTCACATGCATGCTAATCTATGTGTAGAATAAGACTGAGGTAAATCGGTAATGTGTGGGTACCCCACCAGGCCCTCATCACAGGTGCAGTAATGTACCGATGCTGTCTTGGAGTGTAACTCACATCTGCAAGCCAATCCGATCCCACAGCTGATATTTAAAGATTGTATGTCTACAAGAAATATGATAGTAGCATATATGAGGAAACTCAAGCATTTTCCAATCTTACATTTATCCTGACTTAAGATAGTGGAAGTGTCACTGTTAACTGCTCCAGTGCTGCGTCCAGGGTTAGGCCGGGGTGGACTTTGGATCTGCAGTGTTGTGTGGCCTGATGATCTGTTGAGGGTGGTGTGATTTTTACAGTGTTTATACTTGTGGTACAAGGAGAGAAATGTGTGCAAGATAAACTTTGCATGAATCGAAGATCTCTTAATTATCTGGGTCAAATGTACTTTAAATATGTTTTGTGATCTAACTATATTTTTCAAGTAATAAATTGTAATGTTGTCGAATGTGATTTTGACTATTGAAAGTACATCAGTAGTTGTACAATTTTATATGTACATGTGTGGATGTGGCCAGGCATGCATGTGTGACCTGATGCATTATGGTTGCCTTGTCTGTCCACTGTCAACGTTTTACTTTGAACACATATTAGAACCTTAAGGCCTTTGGTCATGATATATATATTTGGTATTTGGCTTGCAATTGTTAATTAAAAAAATATTTTTTATGAAATAAGACTTGAGAAGCTGCAAATTAAAAACCTTGAAAATTTGTAATTGTTTTTCACATACATTGCAATTTCATCATAACTGAGTGTCCCCCATATCATTACCCCTCATTTACTGTCAATGTATTTCAAGATCCCATTTACTTTTTTTTTCCTAAAAATTCTTTTGTACATCTGTATCTCACTCGGATGTATGTTACCGAACCCCAGTACATCGCCAACATTCTACTGGACCAATGATGGTGATAATTCAATAAGGATTTGCTGCTTTTACAACAATAAAATTACGCTACAGATAAATGTAAAACCAGAGCTATACACTGTCATTTTGTATACACGTGATCAAAACTTACAGTCTAGGTAATGTTATTTCTAGTTGTTGAAATGTTTGTTAAAGGAAGGTTTCTATTTGCCCGCTTTTACCTTTTACCACGACTCATGTTGGTAATACCTCAGACTTTGTGGTAATACCCTTAGTAGTTATGTATGTGCCATTTTAATTGCATGAAAAAGTAAACATGTGGTAAGTTTGATAAATTACCTTTGTCAGATAATATGAAGTACAACATGGAGGTGTATGGTGGTACTGTTATATATCATATACATGTACATACCCCAGTCACCTTTATAATAATAATCCTGAGCACCTGTATAATAATCTATTTCTTTTTTATTGGACACAAATTGTTCATGTGGTTGTAACTTGTATTAAGTAAATCTGTCATCTGATGATTCATTGGAAGTTTTTATATATTTTCATCATTATTTTTTTTCTTCCCTCAAACAATTTAGTTCTAAACTAGGGGGAGATATAAGCTACCGGTAGTAGTAAAATGCAGTTGAGAAATTATTCATAAAAAACTTAGGGGCTGGTAGCCAGTCTTAAGTACATGAAATAGCAATTAAGGTATGTAAAAACAGGTATATATCTGATAGTACATGTACATGTTTAATCACATTCCCATTGTTCTCAGTCATGTTAGTAATTAGACCCATTTGTAGTGAAACCTATAGCTACATGTATCTGTTAATGTACCATCCCATTAAGGATTATACTTACCAGAATTTGATGCTTAGCAATGAATAAAATCTAATGAAATATTCTCTAAGACCCTTTGACATTTTAACTTGAATTGCACTCATAAAATAATTCAATGTAAGCTTAATTCAAACCCTACATGATTGTGTCTATGAATATATTTGTTCAACAAAATAAAAAAACTTTTGATTAACACAATTAAAAGTTAGTACAGTAATTACAATGTAATTAATTATTTTTTCAAACATGAAGTGAATTAAAGTTTGCCAAGTAATTTATAAACACAATTACTAAAGTAACCCCGCCTGGTCATACTGATACATGTGATTTATAATGGCAGTCTATTTTGATATTGCACCCATTGCCCCCACATTGGTGTGTCCTTTGCTATAGTGTTTATGTAAAGTTGTGTAATGCAGTATTGAAGGACTCGGTACATGTGCAGTCACTTTGATTAACCAGAGCATGTGTTAGAAATGTGTGTGGGAGAGAGCCGACCTGAAGTGTTAACCACATGTACTTTGGGAAAATATATAATATTCCACGACATGATAAAGAATTTAAGTTGTATACTGTTGTAATATCCAATTTGTTGTTAATCTGGTAACTTTATGAAAAGATTCACTGGCAGATTCCAGAAGTGAGCCTTAAGTCAATAACAAGTTAAATTATTGTGAAATTTGATTACATAATATATACATGATATTAAGTGGTGCGAGAAACCTTGGCCACTGAAATGTGGGGATATTTGATTGGACATCACAATCACCTGTCACTTCGGTGATATCACTGTGAATGATTTTATATTATTACTACCGTAGTTAAGATAATAAATGTTATCGGTGAAAATGTATGAAAATTGCAGTTAAGTTATCACTTTTGTCATACTGTTAATTTTCTGAATGTCAGCCGTATATATGTGCATGTACAGGCATGGTACATGTACAGTGGTATATAAGAATGCCCATACAGATTCTGACAATACTAAGCTGTTGTGTGTTGTTTAGTGTTTTGAGAATGCCCATACAGATTCTGACAATACTAAACTGTTGTGTGTTGTTTAGTGTTTTGAGAATGCCCGTACCGATTCTGACATCAATGTAATGTTGTGTGTTGATTTGTGTATTTTACAGCCTGTGAGAATGCCTGTACACAGGTATATATATATAGGTTGGAGAATGGAATGTGACAACACTGTATGAAGATGTTGTTTGTATTTATGACAGAACCTGACAGACTCTGACAACACCGTAATGTTTAGCGTTGTTTTTATGTATTTACAGCCTATGAGAATGCCCACATTGATGCTGACCAAGCCTCGTCCACAGGCGACCGTCAACTGGAACCAGACAGCAGCACCAATAAAGACAGTATGTATTGTATTTTATATATATAGATATATAGATATTTTTTATATGTTTTTCTTATCTTTAGAGTTTAAAAATGCTTTATTTTCACATGTTACATGACTATTTCTGAATTAAAGCTAGCTGTCCTTAATCAGGAGGTTTTATCTTTTGGTCTAGACAACACATGTGTTGTATTGTAGACTAATTCTCTTTCAAAGCACATGTTGTAAAAGTTTAGACCAAAAATAGAATATATCTTGATTATCTTTTCTTTGAAATATCTTAGGAGCAATCTTTTCTTTAGTGCTATAACAATTAAAACCTCTTTCATAAAATTAGTAATGTCTGTGAAATTCTAACAACAACCCTGTTAAAGAGAACTTTTAATCATATTGATGTGTGTATCAGTTTTACGCTATATTGATGTGTGTATCCGCTTTACGCTATATTGATGTATGTACTTGTTTCAGGCCTACTGATTGGGTTTATATCAGGAGCTATAGTCGTACTGTTGTTGGCCGTGTTCGGGTTCATCTTCTGTCGTAAGAGGTAAGGATACAACGCTCGTCAATCTTTCACAAGATCTTTACACAAATTGTCACAAGTATGCTTCACCTGATTTAATTGTTTGGGATGAAGTCAAACCTGTCCAGCGTGACCACCTAAAAGACCTGTACTGGAATGATTGTTATAGACAGGTGTCCTTTATAGAAAGTTGTTGCTATGGCAGTTTTGCCTATGTATTATTTCATGACAAGAATGATTTCATTTTCGCAAGAAATTTAGAAATGAAATGCCTTTATTGATTAATGTAGAAAAAATAATAGAATAGAAAGTAAGTATGAGATATTTGATCAATGTTACTGAAAGTCTTATTTTACAAAATCAAAGTTGATTGAAATTATCAGACATTTACACGTCCATAGGTCAGGAAGTATTTGAAGTTTCCAACATCAGTCCTTTATAACCGACAATATTTTGTGTTCTTTCTTTAGGTTCCAGCGCAAGAAGCCCATGGATGAAATGTCGGTGCGGTTTGAGAACCTGAACTATGCCCGAGTGAACCAGCTTGACCAAGGACCACAGCGGGCCCAGAGTAATATCTACATGGACACGACTGACATGAACCGACTGTATGATGTTGTCACCAAGCAGGTGGACCATGGTGTAAACCGCTACGACACTCAGTACACTTCCACCCTTCAGGCCAAGGGAGGTGCAGAGGGAGGCAAAGACATGTGTTGTAGTGAGGACCCGGATTACGAAACTCCTGTAAAAAATTGTTCACCCCAAAGAGAAGACAACCCTCCAGCCCCTCCTCTGCCCTGTCTGAACAACCGACGACCCTTACCTGTCCGTGAAGGTGAATATGTTGATATGTCGGCGGGGAGCAGACAAGGAAAGGCCACCAATCTGATCAATGAGGCAAACCGAGTGGTTGACCCCAGCAAGCCGAGTAATTTAGAGCAGAGGATGGAATCGACAGACCAGCCCATGTACGCCAATGACAATGCTGTCAATGAGGCTTTGGAACACAGTAGTGATGACGAAAGTATCCGGCCAATCCTCCACAACAGTCAAGGCGAGAGCACAATGGAGGCGGAACAAATCTATGAGACTGTGCAGTGATAACTCGGGGAACTATCTCAAACAACCACTGTGTTCATTACTATAAAGTGGGTATAGCTAGCACACTGCTTTCTTGGATTTCACATGAATTTCAAGAGAGAGAAAAAACAATTGTGACACCTACTTCCGTGAACACAAAAGCTTCTGGCACCAAACTTAAGCTGTCAACTTTAAACAAATGCATACAGGTTATGAACTTATACAGTTAGTGCTATTCCTAACAGGTTATGAGTAACTAGGCAGATTGGATTTATGACCACCATGTCTATGTTTCAGGTCTAGAGTTGTGTGATTGGATCCTTATACTTGAGATAATGGACCATTAGCCAAAGTGTTCACTCGTACTAGTAGCAAGAGACTTGGAGGTCAGTCTGTCACAGTGAGGATGATTTACATACACGTACAAGAAAACCTTGCTGTACTGCCACTGTTTTGGTACAGTAAAACCTTGCTATACTGCCATTTTTTTGGTACAGTAATACCTTGCTATACTGCCACTGTTTTGGTACAGTAAAACCTTGCTATACTGCCATTTTTTTGGTACAGTAATACCTTGCTATACTGCCACTGTTTTGGTACAGTAATACCTTGCTATACTGCCATTTTTTTGGTACAGTAATACCTTGCAATACTGCCACTGTTTTGGTGATATAAAAGAGGTTTGGCAATACAATGAGAGCGGTAAAAAGGAAATCATATTGAAAAAGGAAATTGGGACAATTGAAATATGTTGACAAGACATTGAAAAGTAGCACGAGGGACATTATATCAAGGTTTTACTGCAGTACAGACTTAATATTTGACATCTTCATTCATTGTGTTACATACAACTGTATGTCACGTTACACTGTAAGTGTACATATCTGGTACAAGTGTACTGTCTTGTCAGTAAACTCACACTCATCCATAAAATGGTAAACATTACGTAAAACAGCCTATTGGGCTTCCAGTATTACTGTTAAATTAACCTGGCAATATAAGAATAAGGTCAAAGTGATTCAATAATAAAATATTAGGATGTTATAGAGCCCTTTGTAAGATTTATTACTCAACCAACCTATTTTGTATAATGTTGTTTTTTTTGTTGTTTTTTTGTGTAATTCTGATTTTTAACACTGTTCATGATTTGTAGTAGTGATAGAAATACCCATGTTTACTTACAACTGAGCCAAACAATGTATTTGTTACTGTATATAACACATACTACTGTATAGTACCTTAATGTGGTACTTACAATGTAAATATGTGTTGAATCTAATTTTTACCTAAGAACACTTTTTCATGTATCATTTTAATGTTTTTCCTGCTGAATATACATGCTTCGTTTATTTTCAGCCTGTTACATTGTATGTCAGGTAGTCTGATTGAAAATACTTGAACATTTCATAGTCTATCGGGAATTCAATGCTTTCACTGTACAGTCAAACCTGCTAGAGGACCAGCCCTGTTAATCCTTACGGACCGCCATTTTCTCATCCCATCCAAGCAATTTAAACGTAGTACACTCTTGTATAAAAAGTCCATGCATGACCATCTCTGGCAAAAAGACCACATTTGAGCCTTCCGTTGAGTGGTCTGTCCCTTGGTATAGATTATGCTGTATTTAGTAGATAGCCACCTTTGCCTGTACAATTATAATCATTTCTGTCATAAAAAAGGAGTATTGACATATTGTGAGATGATATTGATAAATGGTGTGGTTAGATTGTTCAATATGTAAAAAGCAAAACCTTGAACTGCCAGCGTTAACCCGGCAACATTGCAGTATCTGTTCATCTGATGATGTTCATGTATAAGGGTTGGGCGATATATTAAGTATAGGGAATAAAGGAACTTTGCAACAGCAAACAAACAATATATTTAGAGGATCTTGAAAAATGTTGATGTTTAAGCATGGTGGAAAATGAAACGAGGGGCATTACATCAAGGTATTACTGTAAGTAAAGTGATTTCATGGTGTGCTCTATACTTTAAAACAAAAACTTCATCGATTTTGTTCAAATCAATACATGTACATTTCCAGTTCAATTTTTCAGATGGAACACTTGCATGTCAGATCATGAGTTACATACATGTAACTGGCAATGCAAGGAGAGTGTAATCTTTGTTTTGTTAAATTGCTCAAATTTTGACTTTTACTATGTGCTTATAGTTGAAATATTTGTGTGTTACACTTTAACAAATTTGTTTGTTATCATGAAGTGTTAAAGATTTGGGTTTATATGGACAACAAGTCAACTTAAATCATGAAAAGATAATTGTTTTAGCAATATTACTATGATACTATTGGGTGTCTATGTTTTAGTTCTTTTTCCTCGTTCAGATTCTGATATTTGAATTTTACTTATTTCATGTAGATGCCCTTTCAAATTCAATTCTATTTTCCTTAAACATTAATATTCTTTAGTTATTCGAACTGTTCGATATTCAGGGTGATATAGGGGGAAAATGAAATCTTTTTGGCTGATTGTAATAAATGTACATGCAGATTTGGCTGATACATGTATATGATTTGAAAGTCTAACCAAGCTGGGCATTTATGAAAAGACAATCGTTCCATGCCAGCTTATATAGCTGTATATATGTAAATATATTTACTTGTAAATTCAGTGTTACATTTTAATCTGATGATATATATATAATCAGTTTGATGGTATATATTTCTGTAGGTTTACCATTGCAAGGACCAATTTCTTTATCTAGTCGGTAGCATGAAGAATTACTGTATATATGTACATACATGTATATAATATCAATTAAGAATACATCTAGTTCCATTATTTGCAATAGAGTCAAAATCACAGGTTGTACATAAAATGAATTTCCTCCCTGCCACCTAGTCTAAAATTCAAGCATTCTTTAATATTTTCAAAATTTGACCATTACCATATCTAACCTTGTATCAACTTAAAACTTCTGTACCGATTCATTTTTTGTATTGAATTTTTTCCAGAATTTTTTGTTGTTGTGAGAAACATCATCTTATTAAAGCAAGCCATGTTAAATATCTTGGATGGCATTAAGATTTATTCCAGTGTGGGTTTTTTTTATCGAAATTTATGTCCCAATTTAGATTTATGAAATTGTTAGATACATTTTTCTTTTAAAGAAAGAGGCATTATTGCAGATAGCTTTATTGATTATTCAATATGTGCTATATTTTGTTAGAAAAATGTGTTTTCAACAGGAATTTTGAATTTATTTCATATTATATTAAGAGGAATTGATTCTTCATAGAATATAGACGTGTATACCCAATATGCAAAGGTTTTATAAATTAAAGTTGTCAAGAGTGCAGCTAAAACTGCACATATATTTGTACTACAGTTTAACCTGGCCAATCTGATCAGAAGTATTTCAAAAATCCTGTGTAATCTGACATGATGCTCTCATCCCATTTCTAGGGGGGGGTGGGGGGAGAGAAGATGTATATATATATATACCTTAAACTACCAAATAAGACAAGTTTATCCTGACTTTATGTCAAATTGCCACAGTGGCCAAGTGGTTAATGCATCTGACATTCTGCTACCACTAGCCCCCTGACATTCTGCTACCGGACCACTGGATCGCAGGTTTGAGACTTATGTGGGGCAGTCGCCAGGAACTGGCCGTAGGTCGGTGGTTCTTCGTTGCAGCCCTATGGTTTAAACCGTTAACCGGACTAATATGTTGTGTCCCACAAAGGTGTTGGTTAGACAGATTTAATTAAAAATTATTGGGTTGTAAGCCTCATTACCTAAAACACCCTCATTTTTCTTTGTTTTCAAAAATGTGAGTATATTTTGTTTTTGCTGTCTGCTGATCTTTTTCAACACAAAAACTTATTTGGTTTTTACAAAAATAAAATACTAAAGATTTAATTTTTACTTTCTATGAAAGTAACATGTGAATTTAGATTTATGATAACAATATGATACCTGTGTCACCTGTTTTTATTTATAATTTGTAAGTATTGAGAGTTAAATCGTTGACTATCCATGAAATATAAAACAGTTAGATACAATCAGGGATCTTTTAGTTCATGATGATAAATCTTGCCAGTAGTTTAAGTTTCATGTTGTTCAAATATGGTGATCATGTCTCTGTTAGATTTTGATTGGATAGCTTTTAACTGATAGTGGCCACTTAGTTAAGTTTTAACGTACAGAATCCTGGTCGTCCTAAGGTTTGTGTCAATTGTACATACCCCAGTACCTGTAGGGCATAGTTGTTAGAATTCTTTATTTCTGTTATCAATTGAATTGTTTTTTTAATGAAACTGTTATAGAAAATGTTGATTCATATTTTATGTTGGAAAACTTTTTTTAAACAATTTTTATTCAAATACACGTTTTACCAAAATGTCATTCAGCCATTGATGAACCCAAGAGTGCAAGATGGGAGTGCTGATATGCATGGATGAATTTTATTTTAAAACATTTTCTATTAAATCTTTTTTTTTTTTCACTAAATATTCATTTGAATAAGTGTTAAATTTCATTATGATGAAAGTTAATTCACAGTATCATTTTTACTTACCATTCTGTTACAGGAGGTCTACATTTTGTAAGTGTTGTCAAGTTGCTTCATGTATAGTCGCCCCATTGATCCCGTGTTGTTTAGCACCATGATCTGTAAAGAAGTTGTAAATGTTGACATCAATACACACACTGGTATTTTTTGTACCAGCATTTTCAACATTACCCATCCTCCTGTTAATATTATGTACCAAACCATGTACGAATGATGAAGGTTCTATTACTTTATAATAAACTATTCCAGTAGGGAAGAGAACTGAATAATGGTGCGTGTTGTATCCCCTCATTGAAACTGGCATGACTAGATTTGATAAATCATTTCTGAAAAGAAAATCAAACTTTGCAGGAATTTTATGGGAAATGATAAATATGAAATAAGCAAAAATATTATCAACAAGTGCTTGGAGTGGAAAAAAAATTCAGTGGGACTAGGTCGTGCTTCAAGCTGTCTTGTCAACGGAAGTATCCTAGCTCAAGTGTGCTATAACCAACCGGAAGTTAAAGTGAGGTTAGTGTATATAAGAAAAAACAAAGTGCAGTGGGACAGGGATCCTTAAGGCTGATCGATCAATGTCTATGATCTTTTTACTTTTGTCTCTTGCATTAACCTTTTAGTGAAGTTCAAGACTTTTCAGACCTGCATTTTTTTTTTATCTTGCTTGTATTTTCTCTCGATATATAAAGTTATATAATGTAAGAGTGTATAAGGATTAGCACCCGTCCACCCCTATCAGGTCGGATAGAGATTAGATTGTGTAGGTCATGGGTTCACGCTCAGTCCTCGTTATCTAACTCAGAGTTCACTTTCAGTCATGAAGGTGCACATAACTGTTTGATATAGTTTGTTTAGGCCATGGACGTAAATAAGTACAAAGTGTACGTTTATATATGGTACAACACTACTTCTATGCTTTAATTGTTTTAGAGAGATGGGCTACTAAATACAGAAACCACAGATCCATGTATCGCTATGGTCCAGAGTCAGGATCCACCGACAGATCGACTGTTGACCTTAGCAATACATGACTAACAAATAAGATGGGATTTAGAGTGTTTTCCCCTGGCTTCAGGGAACCCTACTTCTGGTTATTTTCCTTAATAAGAACCCAACAAATAAAGTATAATCCTTTCCTTCTTGGATCCCCATCCCCAAATAGGTCTCTGAATTCGTGACTGAAAATTTGACTCCTTAGTGTGATACATGGAATCTTACATAATCTAGTGAATATTGAAACACGTGTGTACGTATACACATTTTGCTTTCTTTCTTTAATACATGATCATGCATAGTTATGCTTGACTAAGCAATGAGACTAAACACAACAGACTTCGGAAGTACGGGACATGAACATACAAAATGAATGGAGAGCCAAAAGCGCACGAATACAGATATTTTTCGTAGGCGAAACAAATTGTCTGGAGACCATTACATCTGGAATCAATAGTTTCTAGGAATACTTTATATAGCATTCATTAAAAATAAAGCTAGGAGTCAGATATTTCTTCGATTGGTTGAATTTTGAGGTTCTTATTTGATTCACAAAAGCTACTTTCGTGTTTTTGCGGCGTGATGCAAGATTACGCAAAGCTTATAGTATTTCCTCAAGAGAAATACGTCTTATGTTAACAGTTTTTGTTCAAAGGAAATTGGGAATATAAGACTGCCGTTAAGATTACCGTTTGCAGCAAATGCATCTAAACATTTTAAGGTGTGACAGTAGGGAATGGCACCCTTAGAACCAACGCCCAATAAGTACACATATTGTTTAGGTTATCGGTTCCTGGAGGATACCCTATTATTTACAATCTATTCCAGTAAGGAAAACAATAAAAAAAAGAACGGAATCTCATGAAACATGTTTTCTGTTAAGTGTGTTCTTTTTACATAGTTGTCGACATATTTCGTACCATGTAGGTGATGTTTCCTTCACTAGATGTTTAATAGTATAAAACTCGACGGGGTTGTCACTCCCACACTACTGTGTTGAATTTCTTAATCTACTCTCTTGATGCCGAACTAACATACATACACTTCTTTTGGAAACTACAAGTGGTACTGTTAATTAAACGGAATAATTTCTCATGAGCATTCCTTTATTCTTCAAGATAAGTCGGATTGCTGGATATAATCTGAAATGTGAATAGTATATCAGATGATAAACCTAACAGACGACAATCACACAGACCAGTGATCTACACAGACCAGTGATCAGTGCTCTACACAGACCAGTGATCAGTGCTCTACACAGACCAGTGATCTACACAGACCAATGATCAGTGATCTACACAAACCAGTGATCTACACAGACCAATGATCAGTGATCTACACAGACCAGTGATCTACACATGTAGTTAGATTGAACTCTACGACCGTCAACATATACTCCATTATCTTTGATGCCACCAGAATCAATATAGTCATTCCTCTCTTACGACCATTCCTTAGCCAAATGCTTCATACTGATATTAATATCAGGGTACCATTCAGAATTTTCTGGTGCAAAGACCATCCTTCTGCGGGACTAATCCTAACTGAGCTGCTGTGATGTGAAACACCAACTGAATTATGAACACCCTCCTTCGAATGTATACATCAAATCGATAAAAAGCCGACATAACTGGACAGACTAAAAAATACAACAGCAAAAATAAAAGCAAAATAAAAACAAACCACAGGAGTTCTCATTATAAAGACTCAAAGTATATCTCAGTGGTGGAGCACCTCAAGTATCCGGTAAACTTTACACCCGTGTGAAACAAACTGTTGATTGCTAAGAAGACAGTTGGAGCCAGGGATATCAGTATTCTTTTCTCTTACAGTGTTTTCTATCAATTTGAACATCGCTCTCTTGTTGTGCTAACTGGCCTTGCATTGTAGCTTCGCGTTTATCTCTTTTTGTTAAGATGAATGACAGTGATCCTTCCATCTTTTTCTTTGCAAAATCATGGGTACAATTATCGGTTCAATAATTGGTTGACTAAAGGCATCAGAATTCCGAGTTGAAGGTCTTGCAGCCGCCTTAAATTACTGCTGCTATTGAGTTTTAGAAAGTTCAATGTTTTGTCCTGTTCAGTGATGTCCCTGTTTGTGATAGTTTCTGCCTTTCATTGGTAAATGTGGTATTTTACTTTCTTGTTCCTGGGTGATATCTAAAGAATTTAGTCGAATGATCCACCTGTAGTGCATGTACATCGCTTTAGGTAACACTTTTTTTCTCTGTCCTCTCTAAAGATCTGATACTTGTTATGTTTTGATTTCAGAATTGACAGCTTTGCTTCAGAAATTCTGGATGGCGGGTTCTTCTGTGTCTGTACGCTCGAAGTTATTCTGATTAATAAAAATACCATTAAATAAATATCACGAAGTCTATGCAGTACAGTGAATTCAACTGAACATATTGAAATCCATTGAATTGTTTTATTATTATTAACATGTAATATAATGGAGGAGGCATTATGTGTTTTGTTTCTCCGTCGGTCGGTTGGCCAGTCCGTCGTCTGTACGACATCTTGGCTAGCTCAGTTACCCAGTTACTACTCTGGTGCCTGGCTAGATGATTGCCACGCTATTGCGAATACAGGCGGTGACATTTCAGTGAGATGACACTTGTTAAAGTGGCCCTAGAGGAGCCCATTATATGTTGACACTGTTTTAAAATAACTTCGAACTGTAGCAAGGACGCAAAATTGTAAAAAAAAAAAAAGCAAACATAAACTTCATTACTACAAGTCCGAGAGTCATCGAAATTTGTATGTGGATATGTACCTCTCTGAGAAGTACAACTCTTAAATATCGCATGCAGGTCAATATTTTTCGTTTGATTGACTTTGGTTAGTCTCTGCGTTTAGCTGTTGCAAAACATTTCCTAACTGGGGTGATTTCACGACTTATGTAAGATAAACTACAAAAACGGAAAAACTAATAAGCTCTAGAGTTTATAATGAGAATGAAACGCTGGATTCGTGGTACACTTTAAATTATTCTTGGAAGAGCGTGTATACTAATGTTAACTGACTTTAGTGGGTGATGTGGTTTTAAACAGAAAACGTCCTGTGAATGACCTTTAAGTTACGAGTACAGACTGGTGAATTACTCACAACTGGCAATACAAAGTACACTTCTACATACCAGTGTGATGAACAGCTTCCCACTGTCACGAGCCAGTCAGACAAAATACACAAGTGTTGTTGTTGCTGTCAGTAATGGCAGGGAAGCTTCTATACTAGTTACAATATGTACTCTAAACAGCACACTGTTTCAAATACAAAAGTTATAATCATGTACAATGTACATTGTTACCATAAACTGTATTCTTCGTTAAGAACCAATAAGGGAGATCAAGTTATTGTTTTGTGTCAATAACTACATGTATAATGATAATAAAATATTTTGAGGGAGATTACTCCAACATTTCAATTCAAACAATATATAATGTGCATGGTCGCATACGTGTTTAAAAGATAAATACATAATGTATATGTACATTTATATGAAAAGTTACAAAAGAATCGAAACACGTACATAGATCTGTTAAGCAATAACGCGCTTTCTGATTTTTAACTATTTGTATGTCTACTTGACAAAATATATATGGGTCATAGAAGTAATATAGTCAATATATATATATATATAAATATAAATGTATATATAAATTTATATTTTATTCCAACACAAGGACTTCTCAATGTTTTCTTTAAATATATATATATATATATATATATATATATAATCCGCCTGAAGAAGCCCTAGAAGGCAGAAAGGCCTAGCGGACGATCGGGGAAAAAAAAGGTTTTATTCTATATTTTCCTTCGCAAGGACTTATTTATTTATTATCTGCTATATATTTATATATTCTTTTTGAAAAGGACACGATGTAACTTTATAACAGACTACAGTTATAGCACTAACAACCTCTGGTTCCACTGTCCTAAATGTAGAGCGTGGCCCATTTCCTGCGTCCAGAATAGCACATTGTAATTAGCTGACCGTACCACATCACTTGTGCAGCCCATCAACACCTAGTTAAATACAATAATGTACTCGTGTTGATGGGTTCCCTTCCAAATCATTATACCTCTATTCAGCTCATTACACACATAAACATAAAGGCATAGCCTTCAATATCCCAATCATCTTTAATGAAGATAACCTCAAAAATAACTAATTTTGAAAAAAAAAAAAAAAAAAGCAAAAGTCATACATCTGCTTTGGGAATGACTTGCATTTCAAGTTTGTAGAACAATTCTGTATATCTGCTTTTTTA